TTGTGGCTCAGAAGTAGAGCACTTGACTAGCATGCGTGAAGCACTGGGTTCGATCCTCAGCACCACATTAAAAAAAAATAGATTGTGTCCACCTATAAATAAAAAATATTAAAAAATGTCACTGTTATTGAATTGGCATGAGGGACAAGTACAGACCTTTAGGTAACACTACAGACCTTTAGGTAACAATAATGATATTGTCCTAACTTACTGATAAAAGTTCTGAGATGTCCTAAATTTAATCCCTCTCATCTTTCTTCCCATCTTCTAACTGGTGATTAATCAGTTAACAAGTTATGGGAAAAGATGATTTCACATTCCTGAATGTATGCTGAAACCTTAACTTTTATCTCCTCATGGCTGACCATCAGGGTCATAATGCCCTGTTTATTTATAAACTTCCCAGACTGTTAATTCTGACCAATTTAGAAGCAACAAGTACTTCTTGCCACCTTCCCTCCTCTCGCTTGTTAGAAGTACCAAGATGCCGCAAGAAATCAAATACATGCTCAGGAGTGGGTTGATAAGGCAAATTTGTACTCCTGCTGAAGGGTTTTGCCACACAAAAACCTGGATAATCTGTTCTGCTCCATGAGGCTTCTTAAACTTCTGGTGATTACTATACCTACCATTCTTTAAGCATAGCCCACAGTGCTTTCTGGGTGTTTAAAGAGGGTTATGATGAATTCAAATACAAAGATTAACTGAAAAGTATCTGTCCTGAAGAAGATACAAAATGGTTAAACTTTATCAGGAAGGAACATCTGACTCCAAGTGCAAGGAAAAGGTGGCTTTGGGATCTGTGAAATGTGCCATCCAAAAGGCTCATGTTTTGAAGATTTGGTCACCAGTGCAATAATGTTTAGAGATGGGGATTTGAGAAAGTGACTAGAGTATGAGGGCTCTGACCTTATCAATGGATTAATCCATTGGGGGAGTCATAATTTAGATTATTGGGAGTGTTGTAGGTACAAACCAGGCAAGGCACCAAAGATGGCAAGAAACTGTTTTATTTGGCTGCAGCCAGGTTCAGAGGGCACAGCTTTTGCTATAATCAATCAATCTCCTGAAACCGGAGTTCAGGGAGTTTCAGCATGTAAGGGGAGGGGCTCAGAAGTTCAGTCTGCAGAAGTTCAGTCTGCAGAAGTTCACATAAAAGAGGCTTTTTCTTTCATATTTTGGGCAAGTTAACACCTCAAGGACAACACCTGAGAAGGGGAGAGCTCCTTCTCCCCTTTCTTTCCCCCCCTGCCAGCTGTTACCATGGAGTCCAGTTGGTAATTTATCTTAAAAATGTGGACATCTCTGTGAAGCCCAGCTCAAGGCCAGAGGCCTTGTTTGCACATTTCTACAAACTACTATACTGGATATGTTTCTGAAAAATTAGTAGGAGGTGTCCAGCACCAGGAGTGCTGATATCTTCCTGGCCAGTGGCCAAGTAAAACAGGGTGACACAAAAATAGGAAGTTTATCTACATTGAACACTTTTGCAGAGACTCTTTTGCTGACAGTCCCAAAATCGGCCATGGTAAATATTTCTGGAGAAGCCCAGTTAAGACTTTCCTGTGGATAAAGGGGGTGTCACTTCAGGAGGTGATGTAAACTATAGGAAGTAGGGCCTAACTGGTACAAGTAGGTCACTAGGGGCATGCCCTGGAAGGGTATGGCTCATCTCCAGCCCATTTCTTGGCCTCTCTGCTTCCCAAGTACAATGAAGTGAATAGCTCGGCTCAATCACACCCTCTTTGCCATGATGTTCTGCCTTACTGATATAGGAATTTGGGAAGAAAGGGAGAGATGCTGAGTCTCAAAAGTGCTCTTGATTCATGTGTAACCATCTATGACTGCCAGGTTTATTGTCTCTGTTCAGCAAATGATTGAACAGGACAGAGCAAGCAAGCAGCAGACAGAGGCAAACAACACCACTCAAAGCAGACTTCCCCAGAGCGAAGGGACCCCAGAGTCAGGAATCCAGTGGGGTGGTCTTGACTTGGTATGGTTTTGTTTTTGTCTTGTTTTGCTTTTAGGGTCTCTGGAATTTCCTCATCTCCTATGTCCTTGCTCTCCACACTATTAATTGGGCCTCCTTTGTCCATGCATCTGTTTCAGTTTTACTATTGGATCCCCCACTTAGGAGCTTGAGTCCAGAACTGTCTGTCTGGATCTTCTGTTTGTGTCCACTAGCACTTTTATCAAGCAGGAAGTTAACCTCATTAGAAGACCCTCTTCATGCTGCTTTGTTCTAGCCCTGCCTGCAACCTCCTCACTCACGGTCTTGCCCTGGCTGCCTGGGCTCTTCTATATCTCCCTCACATGCCCTTGTAACATGAGAGCAATTTGCAAGCCCAGGGAAAACTGAGGCAAAATTGTATAACTCTGCCCCAGTTCCACCTCTAGTTCAGTTCCTAGCAACAGTTCCTATATAAACCCTAACATCCCACACACCAGCAGGTTGCTGTGTCTCCTCTGGTGATACCTCACATTTTCTCCCTAGAATCTGTATTCCTTGCTTTACCTCAAAGCCATCCGTCTTCAGACATCCCCCGATTCTTCCCTGAATATGTATCTACTTTCCCAAATAAACCTGTCTATGCCTTTGCATTCTGAAATTCCTTTCCATCATATGCTAAGAATCCTGTGGTCTTGAGTCAAGTTCCCCCTTTTCTCTAGGAATTCCTCAGACTTTTCTCCAGTGACACTACTACAGGCTTATAGCAATATAACCAGTCATACATTCTGAAATGACCTCTGAAACTAACCCCCAAATCTTAAGTTTTTCCTCAGGTATTTTTGTCAGTGACACAAAAGCTAACCACAGATGGGTAACAGAAGCTTTCTCAAGGGGGTGTCCTTTGCATGAGTATGGAAGGAGGGAATATATACACAGAAAGAATTTTCAGGACTAGCATGTAGAAATGCACATGCATGATGGAACATGAAATCTGGGGAATTCAAGTAGTCCAATGTGGCCTAAGTTTGGGTTATATTGTGAAAATTACATTCAGCAAGAAATCAAGCACCACTAGAAGGATTAGGGAACTCGGGTTTATTACACCAGTGGACCCAGATGAGCTAGTTCTCCGAAATTCTGGGCCCTGAACAGGGCTTTAACAGGGCAGTGCAGGAGATAAGGTTCAAAGGCAGTACTGGTTGTTCATAGGTGGGTTTGAAATTTGGGGTTCCACAAGCTGGAATAGAGGTTAGGACAGGGTGGGAAGCTTGTGGAGGGAATTCTTTCTATAAACAATTTACCAAAGTGGAACAAAGGCGAGAAACATCTGCAAGTGACATCACGAAGTGGCCTTTATCAAGGCAGCAGTTTCTCGAGATAACTGCAAACTTACTCCTAAGAGCTATAATTCAAACCTAACATAGAAACCTTACAATTTAAAGGGGTATTTAAACAACACTCTTACAGAGACCGTTAATTAACACTCTTACAAAGACCAAAGCTATAAAGTAATATTTTCCTCTAACATGGTGTTAAAGATTTCAGAAAAGATTAAATCATGGCTTTCATAGATGTACAATTAAAATGTGCTCAAGATCCTATTTCTCTCATCAGGCAGGTTCAGTCCAAAGACTAAACAAGCTTATATACCACAAATATTGGAATGTGGAAATGAGGTCAAAATATAGAATCTAGGGGTGGGAGGGAAAGGGAAGAGGCAGGGAATTAGCAAGGATGGTGGAATGTGATGGACATCATTATCCAAAGTACATGTATGAAGACACGAATTGGGTGTCAACCTATTTTATATACAGAGATATGAAAAATTGTGGTATATATGTGTAGTAAGAATTGTAATGCAAAAAAAGCACATGTATTGGGGCTGGGGTTGTGGCTCAGAGGTAGAGTGCTCGCCTAGCATGCATGAGGCACTGGGTTCAATCCTCAGCACCCCATAAATGTAAAATAAAGATATTGTGTCCACCTAAAACTTAAGAATAAATACTTTTTTAAAAGTACATGTATAAAGACATGAATTGGCATGAACATACTTTATATACAAAGATATAAAAAATTGTGCTCTATATGTGTAATAAGAATTGTAATGCATTCCACTGTCGTGTATTTTTAAAAAAATAAAATCAATTCAATAAAAAAATGGAATTTAAATGAATGTGGAAATTGAGGCTTCTGCCACAGTGGGGTGAGGAGTCAATTAAACATCTATTGGACCAAATTAGCATTCAAAATAATGCTCTATAGACATTCAAACACTTACCTACTACCTATAGTTTGTTCAAGTCACTCTCCAAGAATCATTGAAAAGTGTGACTTCTCCGCATAATTTTCCATCCAAATACAAAATTTCCCCTGTCAGTAAGACAAACCTGGTAAAATTACCCAGGGGCCACATCAGATAGGATCACAAATAACACTAAGGAGTCTGTACTTCTGTTAGCCCTAGTCTTTGAGCAAAAGGTCTTTGAGCTTGACAAATTGTCAAGCTGGGGAAATGTCATGTTCCCCTCTCATTTGGAGAGGCATGGTTCCTGGCTTAAACGTTGAGCAGATGGTGGGTACCCACACAAGGAACAACCTCGAGTGGAAAGACAAGTTGTTTTCACATTTGAGTAGGAGGTGCCTCTAGAACATCCAGGTGTATTTATGAAAAGGAGGTTGAAAAGGTCCCAAAGGACAAGGCGTGCAGTTCATGTGTTTCTGAAACCAGCCAAGGCATAAAAAGCAGCCTATGAGCCTAGAACTGTCCCAGCTGTCCTGATCTCGTGAAGATGCGGAGCGGCTGGTGGGAGTCCACACAGCCCCCAACGCAGGAACGCCACTGACAAGGCCACAGCCACTCTGGGGCGCCGCGAGGAGTCCCCCTAATAAGTGCTTCTTAAGCAGGATTAGCGCGAGAAAGCCAGTTGAACCTACCCCGTAGGCCACCTCGGCCCCAGATGCTACTTCCGCTTCCGGCCACAGACCTTTGGTGCCGCTTCCGCTTCCGACGCGCGGGACAGTGCGGGGAGGCGAGCGGGGAAGGCGAGCGGCGAAAGCAGCCCTCGCTTGGCGGGTGGGCTCCTGCTAGCGCAGTCGGCCAGCAAGGCCCCGGGCGTGCGAATGCGGCGGCCGCCGCCCCGAGGCTCCACGACGGCCCCAGGACGCGAAGGCGAAGCACGAGGCCCGAGAAAGCGAGGCCGTGGGCTCGGCGAGGCAGGAGGCTACGGCCTTGAGACCAGGGGGCGCGAGGAGAGCAGGCAGAAGAGGAGAATGGTGGCCCGGGCCTCTAGGAGAGCAGAGGCGGAAAATGACCAGACCGGGGAGGCTTCCAGGGCTGGTAAGGCCGGGAGGCGGCGAGGAGAGGGACGGCGGTGCCCCGTGGGCCCGTCGAACGGTCAGGACATCGAAGCAGTGAAGGAGGCGGAGCTCCCCTTGCAGTCTGGAAGACCTGGTAAGAAAGCTCTCCGAGGTCACTCTCTCTCCATCCTCTGTACCTGGGCCTGCTCCGTCTTTATTACTAGTCTTCATTTTTCATCCGCGTGTGTTTTCCAGTGCACATGGTTGACCAAGAAGGGTGGTGGGAAAGATTTTTTTTTTTCTTAAAGACGTTTGCCCTTGATTTAGAATTACTGTAGAATGGCTCTGCTAGTGGTCCATTTTTGACTAATGTGAAATGATAGGGTTTTTTCCAAAGCCTTAGAATTCATACAAGTTTATATGTAAATCCTTAACAGAAATTAGGTCTTTTTCATTTTTAAGTGTATATTTCCATATACTATTCATGGAAATAAAAAATGGACGGCTTCACAATTATTTAGGTAAAGTTGTATTACTCTTTCCTCCTCATTGTAAAATATTTTCTGGTATGTTTTTTGTTGTTTTGATCAGCCAAGGAAAAAAGAAAAGTTACCGAAGCCTCAAGTGATGATTCACAGCCAGGGATTGACCTGGTAAGAAAGGAATCATTAACCAGTTCGGAATCTTTCCAAACAGTGGAATGCAGTGAATTTCAAAATATGGCTTTGTTGCAGTCTTTGGCTAAGGAAGGTTTGGTAGAAAGTATTAAAAGAAGAATTCAAATTAAAAAACATGAAAGTTTAGAAAGCTCACCTCTCAAAATAACAGATAATGAGGCTACGCAAAATATTAAGGTTGAATTCCAAGATGAACTGTACAAGAGTACTTCAGAATATTCTTGTAACAGCTTGTCACCTGGAGTAGAAAATAATCTTATTTTAAAATTACATGAGTGCAATTGTTTTCCCCATTCCAAGGATTGTTATAGTGAAAACAATGAAAACAACTTTGCACTTAAACCTGATGGTGGATGTATACATGTAGCAGAAAATTCCTCGAAGTTAAAGAAAGAAAACCTTAGGAATCCTTCAGGAAAAAGTGATGCAAATAGTATTCCTACTCTCTTACAAACTGAAGAAAACTTAATGGGAGTAAATAACTTACTGCTTGAAGAAAGTGATTTATACCAAAGTAAAAATAATGGTTTTCAAAGTGAAAAAAATAAATATTTGTCAGAGGAGAGCAATGGTGGCAGAAAACCCAGAAAAAAGATGAAGTTGTTTGATAAAGGAGAACCAGTTAGTGAGATGGATTTCTCTAATATGTCTAACAAGTCTGAGTTGATATTGCAAGAAAACCAAATGAGTACAGATGGGAAAGAAGCAGAGACATTAGAGGCAAGCGAAAGTCCTTTAAAAGGACTTAATATACTCTCTCCAATGGATCATTTATTAAGTCTGCCAGAAACTGCAGGAAGAAAACCAAGTCCTGGACATCATGTAAATGCTATGTTTCAGAAAACTCTTGAACCATTTTTGAAAGAAGAAACAACGCCTACCTTAGAGTCCTTAAATTATAAAAACATGGAACCCAAAGAGTATTCTAAATCAATGACAGGCTCTCTAGTGATATTGCCTAGTGATGGCCATGATACCGAAAAGAGATCTTCCCGGGAAGATTTGAGAGACAAAGGTGAAGAATCAAAGGTAAGCTGTCGCAGAACAACACCAATGACTGGTAAAAGAATTTGGCCTTATTATTCATGTGCTAGAATATCTGCCCAGTGTTGGAAAAAGGCTTCCTTGCCAGGCTCAAATTACTTATTTCCTGGGTCTCAGGAAAATTTTGGGCAAGATGATTTTCTTAAACACCAAACAACAAACCAAACTCATTTAACTGACTCCAAATTTTTGTTACAAAATTCCTTACCAGAAAAAAAAATTGAATCCTCAACTAAAGAAAAACTGGATTCTAATTTAAATTGTTTGTCTTCAGTTTTAGAACCTACTTTGATGGTTTTAAAGGAACCTATAATCAAGAATGATAAAAGGATAAAGTCAGAGGAACTGAGCAGAAATGGGTCAGAGGTAGTTTCTAATACTACTGAAGATACTCAGTTAACTAATGTGATTCAGAGCTTAACGGGAAATAAAAAAAGAGGAAATTTAACAAAACCTAATTTGACAATGGCTTCCCAGGATGGCCAGGAAGTAAATAACTCTGCAAGCAAAACTATCCATCGCAGAGCCTGCATTACTAAGCAAACACTTGTGGTTCCAGACTTGGTTAAAATATTAAACACAGGACGGCTGACTAATTTTAAAATTCCTTTACTTAAGAATAAGACAGAAAAAAGAAAAATAAATGCCAGGTCTTCAGAGAGAGAAGCTTACAGTCCCCTAAAAGTTCTTGACAATTTATCTGACTCAGAGGTAAAACAAAATAGGAATAAAAATGTCTCCACAGCAACATCAGAACGTCAGTCTTTGGGTATACAAAATGGTGTGACTCCAGGGCAAGCTAATTCTGACTCATTCTACAATAAGAATCCCTGTAGTATTCCTCCAAGCTTTACGAAGCAAGGTGATGATGATAAACCATCCAATTATATTTCTGAACTAGGCAATATTGTTTCCAATAAGGAACCTGTTTCTTTCATGATTGAAAATAATACTTTTTCTTGTGGTCCTGGGTTTATAGAGGAAAGTTCCTTCTGCTCTAAGGAACAAGAAGTATTTGAACCAATTTCCTCTGAAATTAGTGGTAGAAAAATGACTAAGAGCATTTCAAAAATCAAAGTGGAGTTTCCAGATATTCTTAAGGCTTATGAAGATGATGTTCTCTTAATTGATGTAATTCAAGATGACCCAGACCTCTTTGGAGTCTCCAATGAAGGGGAGCTCTCATCTGCCTCAGAGATCCCTAAGATAAGCCAGGAGCCCAATGTTGCAGAAGAGCACCACTCAGCAGACTCCAAGCACATGGAACTTCCAGAAAAAAACCAATTGGGTGATTTGAGGTATGCATGTTCACTTGTGCCTTTTGGTGCAGATCATTGGGGGTTTCAGAAGCGCACTCTGCTTAGATGTCACTGATATTCAGTGATCATTGAATAAATAACACAGTTATTAAATAAATGTAATATATCACTGCTGACACCTGGAAATGCCATTGCTAAAATTTGAGTTCAAGTAATGGATGGTATATTATATATCTTGGAAAACATGGAGCAGATCAGCTTTTAAAATCTAAACTGATGGTTTTTATAAAGTGGCTTTTGAAATTAGAGAGTCTTAAAACATCAGTTGTTTTTGGTTTTGCTTGTCTTTTTGTGGCTGGAGGGCTGGACCCATGGTGCTTTACCACTGAGCTATGTCCCCAGCCCTTTTTTTTTTTTTTTTTTTCGACACAGGGTCTTACTAAGATGTCCATGCTAGCCTCAAACTTGTAATCCTGCTTCAGCCTCCTGAGCAGCTGGGATTACAGGCGTGCCATGCCATGCCAGGCTCATATATTCTTTAAAATTAAAATTTTATCTGCACGTTTTTAATAATCAAATTACTTAAGATTGGTGCTGTGTATCTTAACCCATTATCTTAACCCATTTTCTGTGACTTCCTTGTTAGATTAACAAATTCATTTTTCCAAAGAACAGATGCTGTAGAAATTTGAGGCAATTGGATATTGAAAGTAGAATCAAATTTAGTTTTCAGAACATAATTTTTTTTCATGGTTTTACTTTTAAAGTGACAGTTTTAAGTTATTTTGCCCCCCCAAATAGGACAAGTTTGCCTAGGGCAACTTGAATTAAGTAGTAACCTTCATGCTTAAGAACTTAAGTTTTGGCCAACAAAAATAGATTATATAATTTCATTTTACTAAACTATTACCATTGTTCAAGCTCTTATTTATATCTGTATTTTATAGTGCTTGAATATTGGAATGTTTTATGAACAGATTCAGAAGGAAATATGAGAACATTTCACTAAAATTTAATGCCACATGACTTAAATTTCTAATTTTTATAAAATTTTAGTTACATTGGAGAAATCTATGTTCTTAGGACTTGCAAGAGTTGTAGCTTAGAGCTGGGATATGACTCGGTGGTACCAATGGTAGAGTGGTTGCACAGCATGTACGAGGCCCTGGGTTCAATCTCCAACCACACACACACACCTCCAAACAGAATATTTTCTGTGTGCCAAATAGAAGACCAAAAGCATTGTTTTAAACTGTGAAATGAAATTGGGATGTAATCTTGCCTACTTTAAGGATTAAGACTTCATTTTTCTAGAGTCACACTGCTAGTAGTAAAACAATCTGGATTTGAGCCAGTGCTTCAGTCTAAAACTAGTGGTTAAGACCTTTACCTTCATAATCTAAGGATTTTAAATCTTTCCATGCTACAGAAATAGCTATGTTAAGCAAATTATTTAACCTTATCATTTAAAAGAAAATATTTCCCTTAGAGTTTTGAGGATTAAATCAAAGAATGAATGAAAAAGGTTTTAACATAGCTTTAAGCAATAAGAGCATAAAGTTTTGTTGTTGTTGTTGTTTTCCTCATTTGCTTTTTACCTACTAAAGTTTTCATCCTTTGAAGAACTAAGATTCTGCACTTAGGAGCAGGCATCTCTGTTAGCAAAATGCTGACAGAAAACTACATACAGCCAAAGGTAGAGATAATTGTGAACTTCAGTGCAGAAAGTTTCTTTTTTGCTGGGAATGGAACCCAGGACATTGTGAATTCTAGACGAGTAAGTGCCCTCTACTCCTGAGTTTTACCCCCAGCCCTCAATTTTTATTTCAGATAATTTTTTAAAATTTCACTTCCCTTCACTTAAAATACTAATAACAAAAGGAAGAGAGCAAATAAAAGTATATCTGCTTCTGAAGATTGTTTTTAAATGAACTTGAAAATTTCCTCAGTTTTTTTTTTTTTTTTTTTTTTTAATATTTTAATTTTGGTTCTGCACAAAAATACCAGTTTTGGTGTCATTCATGGTACTAAAAGCTAAACCTTAAAAGGGAAAGAAGGGCATGATAATCAGTATCTGCCAATAGTTGCACAGAAGGTTAACAGTTCAAAACTGACACTTAAAATATATCAAATTTCAGCTCTGTCCCTCTTACTAGTTACTAGTTCATATTCTCTACTGTGCCCAGAGATTGAAGGCTTCTAAATAGTTCTTATTTTACAGAAATAAAAACAAATACTTGGAAGCTCTGGGCTGCCTCTTATTGGTTTAAAAACAAGTGGACAAACATAAGCTAAGTTGTTGGGGAAAGCACTATCAGACCTGGTTAGAATTCATAAGGTGTTTAGATCATGATAGGATGCTTATACATTGTAACCCTCCACAGTGAGGAATGTCCATGTTAAAAAGCACATTAGAACTCATTCACTAAAACTTTAACTGTTGAGCTTGCAAATGAATTATGGCTAAGATTAGCAAATCTAGTGACTTTGCCTTCATCATTGGAAATGATCAGAGAATGTTCATAGTAGTGCATGGAACAGGTAATATGTACTAGAATGTGTGTTATATGCTGAAATATCAGTTGAATGATACTATAAAGTGGATCTTTTTTTTTCTAAGAACCTGCCAAAATTTTTAAGGGAATTACTTTATAGCTGTAGTGGAGTTAATGTGTTTGGAACAAAAAATATATAAACTGAAGTACCAAGAATAGTAGGAATTTGGAAAAGGGAGGGATGAAAAGGCAGTTGGTAAAGCAAAAGTTATATTGATTTTTTTTTTTTTTTTTTTTCAAAGTTTGGGTTGATTGAGAAAAACAAAGGGAAAGAAGGAAAGAAGTTTGAGAAGAAATAATGAAGAATTCATAGGCAGAAAAAATTTAGATATGAATACAATTGTACAGGGATGGTCATGAAGGCTTTCCTAACTCCTTCAGGCAGAGTAGAAGCCCTTATGTGTTCCTGTAGTACTCATGCTACCTCATTTATTCTGATTTTCATGATTTTTGTGTATCTAACTTGATAAAACACTTTTCCTACACTCAAGAATTCTAAGTTTCTCTGCAAGTCCAGTTCCTCATATGCTGACGGAGAGAAAATAATTGATATTTTAAGAACAGTGATAAACAAGATTTAGAGAAGTAGGTAGCATGGTGCCAAATTAAGGAGATTGGAAATTTGGGGTATAAAAACTTGAACTCTAGTATAGAATCAGTGTGGTAGTGAGTAGGCATGAGTTGTACTACTTTTACAATTTAAGTCCAAGGAACCATTGTAGATTCTAGAGCTGGTAAATAGACTTCAAGAAAGGGAAATGCCTGATGCCATTGCATAGAAAATACAAGCCTACCATCTTTTGCCCAGGTCTTGAGTTCCCTTAGACCCGTCCATCCCCAGCATGGATCCATCCTGGGCAAATTATTTGTCTCATCCCACTTTTCATAATTTAATATAATCCCAGTTTAGTCCCCGGGAGATTGGCTTTGTAAAATAGATTACCAAACCAGATGGAAAAAAGTTACACCAGAAATAAAGGTCATTTTTTGTCTTTTGTATTGAGTCTCCCTTGGCTCTATTGTTCCTTTCCACTGAGTAGCTGACGTGTTCTAATACAGATTTTTAGACTTAATTTTAAGAGCTAATGTTTAGTGTCCACCATGTCATATACATATATAGTGGAACAATTCTGAGGTTGAAATTCACCTATTTTTGTAATTGAATCAAAATGGTTAACTTCACAAACGACACACAGCTTCTAAGGGTCTGAGCTATCACAAACTGCCACAGAACAATATTTTACTTTTGATCCCTTTTCTTTAATCTTTTTCTCTTAAAAATAGTAGGTAGGATAGTCCAAAGCATTATTCTGGTTTATTTATTTTTTTTTTTTTCCATTTTTTTCTTTTAGGCCACATAGACCATACTTTGTCTTTGCTGAATAAACCATATAGTACTTAATAAAGTATTGTTTACGAAATCGGGACACCTGTAACTGCACAGCATGGCATCAAGCTAGGGAACCTCTGTTCAATAAATTGAATACTGTAATATTTCTCTATTTATGGCCACTGCTCTCTGCAAAATATTGTTCTAATAATTTGTATCCATCCTACCTAGAAACAGAATATATGAATAGATGAACCCTGATTACAGTTAGCATCTCAAAAAGAGGCAATGACCTTCTTAGTTTTTTTTTCCTTGGGCAATAGTTTCCAAACTTTTTTGGCTAGTAATCATTCTAAAGCAGTCATCTTCAAACCTGTTTGTCAGTTACCCAGAGTAATTATATATTTTATATTAAATTCAGTACACACTTACAAATATGTGAAATAGTAGTTTTATAAAAACTTAGTACAAATGATATAATTTCATTGTATTTTTGTTTACTTAAAAATCTGGAAATTACCGAATTTGAATAATGCTATGGTAGAGGATGAATTTGTTATCCGTAGAGATCTTCAAAGTTGATTTAAGCCTCATTCTTTTTTTTTTTTGCTTGGGTCTTTTACTTCTCTATTTCTATAGCCTCATCCAAGTCGTCTGTTTTCTTTCCTTTTCTGCTTCTACTCTTCCCTTTCCCATTCCACCAATACAGGACTTCTTTTCGCTCCTCTGCTGATGCAGAAGTGCAAAATATTTCTGCATACTACAGTTTTGCTCACTTTTTAAATTTAGGTGAATCTAACTTTTTGTTTCAGATTCAAAATAAAACTACTTCTTAAGAATGCCGTATGTAATTTTTATCTTCAGTATAACTTAGCTATACATAGTAAAGTTTCTCATACTTGTTTAAATTTACCTAACAATATTATTATAAATAGTATCTTAATACAAAATTAAAGCAGTATCCTTGCTATACCCACTTATAAATGGAACTTTCAGGATAATTGGAAACTACCAAAGCATCTCTTAGTTCTCTTTTATGGAGAACATAATTTTCTTCATTCTATTACTTTATTTTTAAAAAATATTTTTTAGTTGCCAATGGATTTTTCACTTTGTTTATTTATATGTGGTGCTGAGGATTGAACCCAGGGCCTCACTGTTACTATCTTAATTATCTTTAGATTATTGTAATCTCCTAATCTTCCTGAACTCTTTTAAATATCATCTGCCATAGTCATATTCTGAAATTTGTTTGGAGTGCCTCACAGACTTTCAGCCACCTGAAGATAGTCTAAATTGTTTGGCTTTTTTTTTTTTTTTTTTTTTTGACCACTGTAATATTAGAGAGAAGGAAGAAGTTGAGAGGTTTATGAGTGATAAAGGCAGCAAGCAGCTCAATGTTTCCACAGTGTGCTATCTATTTATGTACTTTGATCCTTTTGCATGTTTATTTGAAAGTCTTTTAATCTCCAACTAGCCATCAAATCACATCTGAGATGTTATTCCAGGGTTTTGTTCCAATTATTATGTCTGCTTACATATGAACCTCACTCTATATTAGGAATTGCTACAAGGGAAAGGGGTATCTTCATTTGTGTCTCATATCTGGCATTGTGCCAGGAATGTTAGATGCTGCCTGTACAGAGAGTATAGTACAGATATATAGGGTCTTGCCCTCATAGAGCTTTTAGTCTGTCCAGGGAGGCAAGTATTTAAGTACAATAAAATATAGGAGAACAAGATTTCAAAAAGAGGCAATGCCTTCTTTAGTGACTTAGGTTGAGTGCCAAAAGTAGGAATTAGCTAACTGGTGAAGAAAAGTGAGAAACTGAAAAAATGTCCCATGGTAAGTGTTCAGATGTCAAGAAATGTTACAGAATTTATAAACAGTTATGAAGGGCTTTAAAAAGTAAAATGACTATAGACTATATCTTAATTTCAACTTTTGAGAGGCAAATGGGGAGCTATTAGTATGCCAGGACAACAAGCATGAATGGACCAACCTCGGCAAACTAGAATTTAGGCCAAGTTTGAACTTTAAGTATAGAAATTCATTGAAGGACTTGAGAGAAGTTGATCATTTTACACTAAAAAAAACCCCATATCCCTGGTATCAATAATAGTTGTCAAGGAATTGTTTGTTACCTAGTCCTTTTTGTCTAATTATTTTAACTTCAAAGTTTAAATGGATTTGAGAGGTTTAATAAGTGAAGACTGATAATCAGGTGGGTGTGAGGCAGAAGGGAGATAAAGATGATACCTGGCTTTTCTCAGAAAGGCCTCAACCTTTCTGATAACAGAGGGTCAGAATTGGGGAGATTGGATTTAGACTTTTGAGTCAGAGGCCTTTGTGATACCTGTCTGCTAGAATGATTTCGTTTAATTAGAAGTCTGGAGAGGCCTGAGTTAAAGAGATTTGTATATGTGGTGTTCTGTTTGTATTTTCCCATCCTTTAAACTGTACTTCTGTTTCTAGGATTTATGTTGGGGGGAGAAAACGTGTCTTCCAAAGACTTCAAAGAACCATAAAAACAGATTGTTTTCAGTATTTCTTTCTTGGATAAAAAATAATCCTGAACCAGTGAGCTGTATAGACCTGCAGGCTATATTTAACTAAAACTCATCTATTAAATAAACAAATTATGGGTATTTATATTTTATTCTTTGTATTTTCATTAATGTAAGTTTTTGTCTGTTTTTTAAAACAGAATAGTATTTACTGGTGTTCTGTTTGTAGTTTTTATTTGTTGAGCCCATTAAAACATTTCTCATTTAGTCCTCACAGTAACCCTGTGGATAGGTGTTAGTCTCATTTTATAGATATGTTTAGACTCAAAAGAAGTTTAGTACTTCGGGCACAGTTTACACAGAAGTGACAGAACAGTATTGGAACCAGGTTGGTCTATGATTTCTGTACCCTTAATTTTTAGGTTGTAAGTTGTCTATAAGAGATAACAACAACAACAAAACTCAAACTGTCTTTTACATTAGTAATGACATATATGCTTGAGGGTAGAAGTTGAGCATTCTTTCATGGATGTAATAATTTAAAAAAATTTTTTTAAATGCTTGTTTGTCTTATCTGATTCTTAGAAAGTGCTGCTGTCCAACTGTGTTACTAACAATTGAGACGCACGTGGGTAAAGATCCAAGTGAGGAATCTGTAAATGTGCTGGGTCCTGAGTACCAGTATATTATTCTGTCCTGAGAACTTGATGGGTTTCACCAGTTGCTAATACTAGTATTATATAGTTTTTAGAGAAGTGGAAAGTTCTGTTTAAAATATGTTACAATGTTTAAGCTCTGTTTGCTTATAATAGAGAACTGCCTGTACTGGACCTTGGAATGACAAAGTCAGAGATCTGTTCTTCCCTCTTGGCAGGTAAAATTTGATTCCCCCCCCCCCCCCCCCCCCAACAAAATAAGCAATATTGAAGTATCTGTATCTCCATTCAGGCCAAATCAAAATGAATCCATTAGAATAGGAAGCTTTTCATTTTAAAATCTGCTAATCATATGTCTTATAGTTCATTGGTTTTTCTCAGTTTGAATTGACTAGTTGGCAGGTTAAATTTTGAGATTTGATTCAGTACATAACTTTGCTATGCTTTATCTACAAAAGATAGGTAATTTACCTCATCAATTTTGTAGTCTTATTTTGGAATTATATATTTCATATTACAATGTACATTATAAATCCGAGCCATTAAAAATCTAACAGCTAATCATAAGTTTAAATACCTGAGTCTTTGCAGAATTATAACTTGATGCAAAAGTTACTTTTACTTTGACTTTCAAGTCTTAAAAATATTTTTGAATAGGTGGACATAATCTTAAATCTCTTACTGTCAGTTCTTGTACCATGCTGTAAAGTTATTTTGGTACAAGAAGGGAATTACATATTTGCTGAAAACTCTACTCCATTTTTGTCATTAGACTTTAAGAGCCTCCAAATTCTGTTATTTTTTGGAACGCTGTTTGACTTAAAGTTTCTATAGTTGAATACCATTTCTTTTCAGCAAATGAGATGCAGCATGATTCCAAAGGTGCAAGCATTTCCTTAGAAGTTACTAACGAGACCTCCGAAAACGAAAAACTGGAAGATCTCGGTGAACAAATAAAAGTTTCAGACTTGGATGAAAAGGTACTAGGGAATTTTTTGCCTTTTCTTATTTCTTGATCTTAAATACTAATGCAGAATTCATATCAACAGTGCTGTCAAGTGACAAGTGTAACTACTTTTGAGTAAGAGACTTATCATTCTGACAATGGTATATATATATATCCCTTAATGCTTTTTGTAAAACAGCATAGACAGGGTTTCCCTTATCCGGGAAAAATAAGATGTCCTATTAAATTACATATTAAGCTTTTTAGTATGCTGAAGTTCATCACAAACCTATGACTTTGTAAATGTTCTGTATTTTCCCACCTTGTTAAACATAAACTACTGAATATAAAATTTTTCTTAATTTTTGAATATCATAGTTCCTGAAGGCCATGAATGTTGTACAACCACAGATGTAGAAGGCATAAAAATTAGAGCTGAGCCTATCTTAATGCCATACCACTGATGTATGAAAATTTTGGTAACAAGCTTTCAAATTTTCTGCAAGGGGCTGGGATTGTAGCTCAGTGGTAGAGTGCTCACCTAACATGCATGAGGCGCTGGGTTCCATCCTCAGAATCACATAGATGTAAAATAAAGAGATTGTGTCCATCTAAAACTAAAAAATATTTTAAAAATTTTCTGCCAGATAATGTGTAATTATTTGATCCTCTTTCTTAATTTAATTGACTCCTAAACAACTGTTTCATACTTTCTTCTTTCCCCTTAAACCTTCATTTTATCCTCATTCATCCTCACTAATAACCTTGTTTTATACTTCACCAAGAAAACTGAATTGGAAAAGAATATCCTAAGTTGTTACTAGTACATTAAATTGCCTACCTGCATTTGCTCCCAGATGCTAGCTTTTCTTAACAGATGAACTAGTCAATTAATTTCCTTCATCTTTACTACATTCCATTTCTTCCCTAGCTTAAAATACTACTCCAGATTCTTCCTTCACTGCTGAATCATTCTCAACAAATAAACATGCTTCTCTCCCATCTTTTTAATAAAATGAAACAAAACACCCCTTTAATGGTCCATGGCCCCTTTTAACAGTCTCAGAAGGCTTGTCTATGCCCATTATCTTGTTTCTGTGCACCAGTTTCGTTGAAAGGAGAACTTACCTGGACTACCCTTCTTGACCCCCTCCAGGGACATCCTTGTTACTGAATCTGATGGGCATTTCTCAGTCTTACTCTTAACCTACCACCAGTATTTGACACAATTGACTACTTTCGTTGAATCTTTTTTTTCACTTGGTTTCAAGAATAAACACATTTGCCCAGTTTGCTTTCTACTTTGTCTGCCATTTCTCAGTTAGCTTTGCTGGTTATTCCTGATTTCCCTGACATCTGCATGTTGGAGTGACTCAGATCCCAAACCATAAATCTGTTCTTTTTCTATCTAGATTTACTTCCTAGGTGGCCTCATACATATTTATTGCATTAAATACTTTCTATGTGCTAAGACTCTTTATAGCCTAAACTTTTAAACTACAAACCTTTGTTTAGTTGCCTAGTTGCTTTTACCACTTGGATATCTAGTTAGGCATTTTACCTTAACACATGAAAAACTGAACTTGGCTTCTCCTGTAACGACCTTCTCTGTTTACAGCATCTCCATTCATAATTGCCCACATCCCAAACCTTGGGTATCCTTACTTTCATTAGTTCTCACTCCATATGCAGAGTATATGGTTTTATATACTGGTTTTATACTCACAGTGTCTAGAAACTGTTCATGTTTTCTTACTCCATCAACACTACACAGGTCCAGATCAGATTCTTCTCTTGCCTGAATTATTGCAGTAGCTTCCTAATAGATCTCCTACTTCTAATCTTGCCCTCTGGTAGTTTATTCTCAGTATAACATGTTTGATCATTTCATTATTATGCTTCAAACCCTCCAAAGGCTTCTATGCCATTCATAGTCAAAATCTTCTGTGACCTACAATGCCCTGTATTTGCACTCCGAACTTCTTTCTGACCTTGTCACTTCTCCAGTTTCTTGCTCTCCTTTTATGGCAATACAGCCATAAAAACAAGACACTTATCCACTATCCTTCTTGTTCTTGAAACATCACCAGGCCTCCTCTTACTTCAAGGCCTTTCTCCTTGCCATTTAATCTGCCTGGCATGCTCTTCCCCATAAAATAGTATGGCTGGCTCTTATTTCTTTTGGGTCTTTTCTCATACTTCATAGTCTTAAGGAAACCTTCCCTGGCCATCTAACCTAAAATTCTAATGCTCTACCTTCTTCCGACATTTCATATCCCCCTTTCTTGAATTTATCTTGATCTAACATGCTCGGGCAGAATTCAGATTTCAGTTTTTCTGATTAGAATATTTTCATAGACTCTACCAGTTGAGCATGCCTACTTCAGAAATCCAAAATCTGAAATGCACCAAAACCCAAAAGTGGTTTTTTGTTTTGTTTTGTTTTTCTTTTTTCATATCATGTGGGTGCTCAAAGTTTAAATTTCGTAGCATTTTGAATTTTAGACTTTTAAGACCAGGTATGCCTAACTTTGACAAATATTGCAAAATGTGGACAGTAAAAAATTTAAGATACAGAACATCTGTATTGGCCAAAAGGATTCCTCATGTTGTCCTTTTTTTTAGCCACACCTATTTCCTTCCCTTCTGTACCCCCCAGCCCCTTGACAATCACTAGTCTGTTCTCCATTTCTACTACTGTCATTTCTAGAATGCTGTATAAATGGAATCATACAGTATGTTTACATCCTCAATTTTTTTTTCAACCAGGGGATTATTCATTCAGGATATTGCACGTATCAATAGTTTCTTACTACTTAGTACTACACCTATACCACTTTGAGCTATTCTATTCATTGAAGGACATCTAGGTTGTAGCTACTTTGTGTCTATTCCAAATAAAGTTGCTATCTACAAATACTCATTAGTTTTGGTACATAATCAAAGTTTTCATTTCTCTGGGATAAATGGGCTATAATTGCTCTATGGTAGTTGCATGCTTAGGTTTTAATTTGGGTGAATTGAACCTGATACTGCCTGTGGTTTGGGGCATTTGAAATCTTTAATTCTTTTAGTCTTAGCTGGGTTGTTTGGAGTCTGTATAGCTATAATTTGGGGACCAGCCAGAATGGATCTGTTTATAATTAGATTTGGGGGCTTCATCTTTTAGGCTCTCATATTTTCAGGATTTCCATCCTTACTTTTCAGTTTGTTACTTTCCCCTTAATTCTGTCTCCTGAAATTATTATTTATTTTTTGGTCAGTAGGGCTAATTCTTAATCTTCTAAAATGGTCCCAATTAGGGCCTGCCTTTGGGAATACAGCCATAAAAACAAGACACTTATCCAGTATCCTCCTCTCTTTGAGTATGAACTTCCCTCTAGATTCTGCTTTTCATTTCTTCAGGGCTTTCAGGTATAGGTTTTAAGATATGTTCTCCATAGATCATAGTTTACTGTAGAATGGTTAATCCAGTAGGAGATACTCTGCCATTTCTCAGTCGATCTGTTGTTCATTCTTTTCAAACTTTATGCAGATGCTAGCATATTGTTTTTTCTTAATATAAAATGGAATTTTTTTTCCTTTCAATGTAGTGATGCCATGTTTTTCTAGTTACGTAATTATCTACTACTTTGTACTCAGAGAAGTCCACCATTAATGGACATTTGGTTTACCTTTTTTTCTATCTAACATATTACACATCCTTAAACATAAAGAGTTCTGCATATGTGCAAGCATTTTTAGATTAATTGCTAGAAGTAGAATTGTCAAACTGCCCTACAAAGAGATTGCATTGACTTATACTTCCAACAACATTGAGAATGTCACTTTTCTCCCCTACAACTTACCACCTTATGTATTGGTTGGTTGGTTTTTGTGGTACAGGGTATTGAAACCAGAACCTTAAGCACTGAGCTACATCCGCAGACCTTTCTATTTTAAGACAGTCTTGCTAGGTTGCCTAGACCACCATCAAATTGGTGATTCTCCTACATCAGCTTCCCAAGTAGCTAGAATTACAGGTTTGCACAACCATGAGGGCTTCCCAACTCATTGAATTGGTTTTTGTCCACCTTTGTTTTTACAAATGGCCTTGTTTTAATTTTAATATACATTTCTCTTATGAGTCTAGTTAAGTACCTTTTAGCGTGTTTAAAAGCCATCTCACTTTTCTGTGAACTTCCTGTTTTTGCTAGCTTCTGGAATTTCAATCTTTTTATTTATAGGAACTCTTCATGTGTTGAACTCTTTACCTAGTATTTTCATCCAAGAATGTTGTGTATCTTTTCATTTGTTGTTTTTTCTTTGTTTTTAATCTTGGGTAGTGCTGGGGATCAAACCCTGGGCCTTGTGCATGCTAAACAAGTGCTATACCACTAAGCTACACTCTTGGCCCCTAGCATGTATGACTTTATTATAATTAGAAATTATGTTCTCAAAATATTTCACAAGTAATTTTTTTTTAAGTATAGCTATTGAGAATGTCACAGGAGTGGTAGCTCATGCCTATAATCCTAGCAACTGGAGTGGCTAAGACAGGAGGACCACAAGTTCAAGGATGGGCTCAACAACAGAATGAGACCCAAAGCACCTTAGCAGGACTACCTCAAAATAAAAAGGGTTGTAGTACAGTGGTAAAGCACTCCTGGGTTTAATCCTTGGTATCACCAAAAGTTTCAAGAAGCTTTTAAATATTTCTAATGAAAAACTGTTTATAGATGCCACCTGAAAAGTCACTCAAAACTTAATTTGGGGCGGGGAGGGGGAGGAAGGGGAAGAAGCGCAACTTTCAATGTTCATAATAACTTGAAATAATGACATATATTTTTCTCTTTGATAGTAGAAATTAAGTGAATATTCAGTAATTCTGTAGAATTGTTTTTATGGTCAGCCATAATCTAATTGTTTAATCTATAATACATTCTAATATGGTAAACATCATAGTTTAATATATAGATACTCACTTCTTGTCTAACCATAATCTCTTCATAGTGTAGAGTTTCAGATAAGGCGACTAACAAAGAAGAAAAAGAAAGTACTTACGAAGCTTGTAAAAGGTCTGTAACAATTCTTTGTTGTTGTTTAATGGTTTCTGGTCCTGGGGATTGAACCCAGGGGTGCTTAACCACTGAGCCACATCCCCAGCTCTTTTTTATATTTTTTATTTAGAGACAGTCTTGCTGAGTTGCCCAGAGCCTCGGTAAGGTGCTAAGGCTGGCTTTGAACTCATTATCTTCCTGCCTCAGCCTCCCCAGCCACTGGAATTATAAGCATGTGCCACCATGCTTTACCATTTCTAATATAACTTTAAAATGGTCACCCATCTAATTGGTATTTTGAGTATTTTTATTCTGTTATATATACTTCAGCAATTGTGCCATAAACCATACATAGGTATGATTTAACTAATGAATCGGATGTACCCAGATATAAAGGATGTTGTAAGTTACTTTAAAACTGTCAGTAAATTGTTTTGGGTCATTAAAATATTTTTGAGAAAGATAAGTGGTGGTAAAATAAAAGAAAGGATGTATATATGACTTCCATGAATTTAAGAATGGCTGAAATCAAAAGAACATTGTATTTTGCAAATATTTTTATCTGGGTGCAGGGAGTACTGAGAGTTAAAAGCACGCTGACTGGAACACATAAAACTACCAAATTTAGAGTTGGAGGTCCCCCCACTTAGCAATCATTTAATCCATTCTGCACCTTCATTTGCTGCTGAGGTAAGCCCCTTCCATGTCAGAATGAACGTATTCAACTCCTTTTATGTTCAGGCAGTGGTTTTTAAAGTGATTCTTGGCGCAGCAGCATCTTGTGGGAACTTGTCAGAAATGGAATTATTGGGATCCACACAAAACAATAAACCAGAAAGAAACTCTAAGGATGGGACCCAACAATCTGTATGCAACAGGCACTCATCTAATGTGTGTGGAAGTTTGAGAACTACTGTGTTAAGGGCAAGGGTAGGTAATAATTAGGTGTGTGTTGAAGTCCAACGTGGTTTGTGACCATTTGGAAATCTTGAAGGGAAAAAGTAAAAAGGCTAACTTTATTTTCCTGATGGAAGGATTTTGCTTACTAGGTTATAATCTATGAAGGTTTATCATAAATTTGGCTCTACCATAGTGTTCAGCAGTGTGAGTAACATTGGACAAATCATATCACCCTGGACTTCAGTTACCCAATCAAAAATAAAAGGGTTTTCTAGATCTCTTCCGTCTATAATATTTCATAATTTGTTGTATGTCACCACTTTTTGTTTGGGGTTGGGGAATGTTGATTAACTTATTATTGACATCTGAAGTTCGGGAGAGAAGTGAATGTTTCTTTTGTGAGAAATTTCTCAACTCTGTCAGTGCTACTACATTTCAAACAAGGATAAACTAGCCCCACTTCTGTTTTTTACATCTCTGTCCCAGAAAACCTCTGCTGTTAAAGCTTATTATAATTGTTTTTAAGGTTAAAATACTATAGTATCTAAATGTTGATGTCTTTCTCCTAAAAAGCTAATTGATCTGCATCTACTAGTCCTCCTAGCCTAATTTTGTAGATAAGTAGCCTCCAGATTAGTTTTTTTTTTAATATTTTTTTAATTGTAGATGAACACTCAGTATCTTTATTTTTTATGTGGTGCTGAGGATCAAACCCAGTGCCTTACACATGCGAGGCAGGAGTTTTACCTCTGAGCTACAGCCTTAGTCCCCAGATTAAATTTTTTTATAAAATTGGTTGTATAGAATGTCATTCATTAAAGTACATTTAAAGCTTTTAAATTAGCAAACCTGGAACAATAACATCTTTAATGCCTCTTCAGAAGAAGCCCTCAGATGTATCTAGATTTATTATACATACTTATCTTAAAAAATAATTTAGTGCTCACCTCACACGTTCGAGACCCTGGTTTCGATCCTCAGCACCATATAAAAATAAATAAGTGAAATGTATTGTGTCCAACTATAACTAAAAAATAAATATTATTTAAAAAAATAATTTACAGTAGTCCTCCACCTTTGTCCATGGGGATATATTTCAAGACCCCCAGTGGATGGCTGAAACTGCGGTATTACTAAGCCCTTGTATGTAGCATACTTTTTCCTGTAGATACCTATGATAAAGTTTAATTTTAAATTGAGCACAGGAAGAGATTAACAGTAACTAATGATATTCCAGGAGTTAAAAGCATGCTATAAATAATAGCAATATATTATTAATAATAGCAATATTATATATAGATAATAGCAATATATTATAATAAAAAGTGCATGAATGAATACAGCTGCTACACTGTACTTGCCCTTCTTATGATGTGAGATTATACAATGTCTCTAAAGAGATCAAAAGTGAATGGTGGTGTTGTTGTGATACAAATGGCATTAGGTTACTGTGTAAGGGGTACTTGATTACAAGCAGTATTGGCATGGTTGTTCTTTTTTTTTTTTTAATTGTTGGTTGTTCAAAACATTACAAATTTCTTTATATCATATTTCACACTTTGATTCAAGTGGGTTATGAACTCCCATTTTTACCCCATATACAGATGCCATGGTTGTTCTGATACAAGATGTGACTATTGAGTGACTAATGGGTGGGTAGCATATGCTCTTTGGACACACTGAACAAAGGGATGAGTTAAATATCAGGCAAGACAGAAAGGGACAGGGCAAGATTTTGTCACACTTAGGAACAGTGTGCAATGTAAAATGTGAATTTTTTTTTTCTGGAATTTTTCATTTAATGTTTTCAGACCACAGTTGACAGGCAGGTGCTTTACCACTAGTGGAGGACTACTGTAAATGTTTTCAGACCACAGTTGACCACAGACAACTGAAACCATGGAGAGTGAAAAAAACCTTGAGTAAGGGAGAACTTCTAAAGCTCATTTCATTGCGTTATCAGTAGAATAATTGGATGGCCTTTCTGGATTAGAGTGCTAACCTAATTCCTCCTCAAACCTTTTGTCTAGCATGATCAAAAATATTTTGAGCAAACCACAAAGTGATGTAGTCCCAGTTAGGAGACTGAAATAAGAGCAACATAGCAAAATTCCCTCTCAAAATTTTTTCCTCTGGTTTTAACCATACCACCCCATTTCTACACCTGCCTCAACAATTTAATAAGTATTGGTTTTCTGTTAGGTCAGAAACATTATATTGAAAATATTGAGGGCTGGGATTGTGGCTCAGAGGTAGAGCACTTGCATACCATGCAAGAGGCACTGGGTTCTATACTCAGCACCACATAAAAATAAAATAAAGATGTTGTGTCCACCTAGAAAATAAATATTTAAAAAGAAAATATTGAAATAGCACAAGGCCCTGGTTCAAGCCCTAGCACCACAAAAAAAGGAAAATATTGAAAAATAATATGTAGTGTATATATGCAGCATAATATATAGCATGTACATAGCACAAGGTGTTTGTTTACTGAATTCTCTTTATTTTAAAATTTTTCCGATCTTTCTGCTTATACAGCACAGAGTCTAGAAATGCAGAGATAATGACTGCTGAATGTCAATTAGCAGCACTGGGCACCAAACCTCTGTGCTTATCATTGCCTCCTTTGAATCTGGGTGGTCAAGAAGACATAATACCGAAGCCCTGGATGAATGGTAATATTTATTTTTTAAATAAAATCCGGTTGGCTTTTGATAATAGGAGACATTTCCACTGAAAATAGACATAAAGAGAAAAATAGGAACAAGTATGGAATATGTTAAGATTAAACTTATGTACCTTTTATTTAGTATTTTGATAAGACAGTTTCTGAAATATCTGTATCTGATACTGTAGTAAGAGTAAATTCACGAATACCTAAAATATTCATATTTTAATTGTTAGCATTTGTCAAGTTTTTTTTTTCCTGACAATTCATAATGCTAGGAACAAGCTTCCCTGAAGAATGAATCTAGAAACTATAAAATTACTTTGTAGCCCACACCCAACTCTTCTAGACTTTCCCAGTGCTTCCTTCATGCTGCCTAGTTATAGTGGGCTATATAGCATAAAGCTTGCAGCAGTCATGTGTTTTATTTCAAAATCTTTCAGTTTTCATAATACAAATTACTGCAAAACTATGCAGCAAAACTTCATCTTGTTCCAGATTATATCTGGATGCTACTGAAAGTTTTTATTTTATCCTTAGAAAAGAATGTTTTAAAATGTCCTATTTTCCATTTTAAAATACCTCCATTATGGCATATGATGTCTGATATAATGGTCAGCTTGGGAACACCATAACAAAATACCAGAATGGTAGCTTAAACAATTGAAATGTATTTCTTATAATTCTGGAAGGCTGGAAGTCCAAAAGTAGGGTTCGAGCAGGTTCTATACAGAATGATTTAGATCTTGACTTCTCTTAAGTTTCTAGACTCATATTTAAAATTATAGACTTACTATATGCTGCAGATAAGTTTCTTAAAAGCCTTTATAAATCTTTCTAAAGGAAGAATATTGTCAAACCAGGTGCTGGTTTACTTTCTGGTAGAACTTTCTGGTTTGCAGAAGGTTGCTTTCTTGCTAAGACCACATATCCTTCTCTGAGTGTGTGCAAGGAGAGAAAGTGAGAGCTCTTTGTTCTTATAAGGACCCCCACTCTTCTACCCTCATGATTTAATTAACTTTAATTGCTTCTATAGAGGCCCTATCTCCAAATGTCTCATGGAAATTAGGGCTTTATAGTATGTAAATTTGGCATGGAACCCAGTTGAGCCCACAGCACCTGGTTTGACAGTATTCTCCTTTAGAAAGACTTATAAAGGCTTTTAAGAAACTTATGTGCAGCATATAGTAAGTCTATAATTTAAAATATGGGTCTAGAAATGCTTAAGGGAACTAAGATCTAAATCATTCTGTATTTCATAGTGATACACCTGACAGCACAGTCTATAAATTGTACATGAATATTCCAAAGTGAAACTTTAAATCGAATAGCAGTGGTGATCTACCCCATTGTTATAAAGGGAACTCATGGTAACATATTAGTGTGTGATGACATTCTAAATCATTTCTAGATTTCAGATTTCCAGGAAAACATTCTGTCCTAAGGCTGCAGAATCCTGACACTTGTGAAATATTTAAAAGGGATAAAAATGCAGGGGTAAGTCTTCCACTTTTGAAAAAACAGTAATTTTCTAAGTTATAACTCATACTTTGAACCTGTCTTTTTTTCCCCTCCCCTTTTTTTGATGGGGGTGTGGAGTGGGAGGAAACTGGGGATTGAACTGGGGCGGGGAAGGGATCAACCACAAAGCCACATCCTCAGCCCTATTTTATATTTTAGAAATTAGGTCTCAGTGAGTTGCTTAGGCCCTTGCCATTGCTGAGACTGCCTTTATACTCGCAGTCCTCCTGTCTCAGCCTCTCGAGCCTCTGGGATACAGGTGTGTGCCACTATGCCTGGTTCCCCATCATCCCTATCATTTTATTTATTTATTTGAGTATTGTACACTAAGAAAAATTGATTTCAATTGATATATATAACTCTTAAATTGGTTTTTCAGTGTTCTTAAGAATGTAAATTGTTTAGAGTTCTATATTTCCTTAGCAAATTAGCAAACAGCTTATCTTTTTTTTTTTTTCTCTTTCCTTTTTTTTTTTTTAAATTTTTTATTGTTGGCTGTTCAAAACATTACATAGTTCTTGATATATCATATTTCACAATTTGATTCAAGTGGGTTATGAGCTCCCATTTTTACCCCATATACAGATTGCAGAATCACATCAGTTACACATCCATTGATTTACATGTTGCCATACTAGTGTCTGTTGTGTTCTGCTGCCTTTCCTATCCTCTACTATCCCCCCTCCCCTCCCCTCCCCTCTTCTCTCTCTGCTCCCTCTACTGACATTCGTTTGTCCCCCTTATATTATTTTTCCCCTTCCCCTCACTTCCTCTTGTATGTACTTTTGTATAACTCTGAGGGTCTCCTTCCATTTCCATGCATTTTCCCTTCTCTCTCCCTTTCCCTCCCACCTCTCATCCCTGTTTAATGTTAATCTTCTTCTCATGCTCTTCGACCCTACTCTGTTCTTAGTTACTCTCCTTATATCAAAGAAGACATTTGGCATTTGTTTTTTAGGGATTGGCTAGCTTCACTTAGCATAATCTGCTCTAATGCCATCCATTTCCCTGTAAATTCTATGATGCAAACAGCTTATCTTGATACTGTTGTTTGGGGTATATAATATTTCTGTTTTAGGAACTGGGAGTATAAGCTCAGGGTAGCATGTATGAGGGCTTTTGTTCAAGCCCTAGCACACAAAATGTGTGTGTTTTTGTTACTTCAAATACTTTTTCACTTTACTTTGTTTTACAGTTAATACAGAAAGGGAATTTTTCTAATTTTCTAGGTGTTCCAGAAGCCCTTAGGGTTGATGATACCCCATAGATATTGCAAGTTTCATTTTAATACATTACGTGGCTGTGAGAGATTGCAATGCAAGTTTGCTCATGTGCCTGAACAAGGGAATGAAAAGGTAATGCATAAAGTCTTTGAAGTAGAAATTGTGTTAGTAACTAATGTGTCATATATTTTAGTTTAGATTTTTATTCTGTTCTCATAGCATAAGTGAGTTTTGCCTATTTTGTGTTTTTTTTATATAAATAAAACTTGATTTATATTTTATGTCTGGCTTTGGTTTTAAAATCTTTTTTTAAGAGATGGGGTCTTGCTATTTTGCCCAGGTATTGACCTTGAACTCCTGGGCTCAAGCAATTCTGCCTCTGCTTTCCGATTTCTTTGGGTTTATAAGTGTGCACTACTGTGCCTAGATTGCCTCCTTTTGCTTTAAGTTTTTGAGATACCTCTATATTTTTAGTTAACTTTAGGGGTTTCTTTTTCTTTACTATATAGTAAATATATCGTTGTGTGAACATCAGTTTTGTAGATAGATATCAATGTTGATCGGCAGTTGGGTGGTTTCCAGATTTGGGTATTATAGTAGTGATGCTATCAATATTCTGCATGGTTTTTGGTGAACTTATATATACACTGATGGGTTATACATAAAACTGAAACTGCTGAGTCATAGGTCTTCACATGTTCAGTCTTAGCTGCTGAACAGGTTTCTAAAGTGGTTGTACTAAATTACTCTCACCAGCAATATCAGTTCTGGTTGTATCATATTCTTTCAGTTCTTAGTATGATCAACCTTTAAATCTTGGCCATCTTGGTGAATGGGTAATGACTGATGCCCTCCCTGATGATCAATGAAGTGAGCATCTTTCAAAATGTTTTTGGACATTGGGATATACTCTTTGGAAGTACCCAAATATTTTGCCTATATCCTGTGAAGTTTGTTTCTTATCAATCTACAAGAACTCTGGATATAGGTTCTTTTGTCAAATTGCAGATATCTTTAGTCTGATTTGTAGGTTATTTTCTTTCATAGCGTTAACTTCTTTTAACCTGTTGAAGACATCTTTGCCAAGATCATAAAGATGTGCTCCTAGCTGGGCGCTGTGGCACTCAACTATAATCCCAGTGTCTTGGGAGGCTGAGGCAGGAGGATCGAGAGTTCAAAGCCAACCTCAGCAACTTAATGAGGCTCTAAGCAATTTGTCAAGACCTTGTCTCTAAATAAAATACAAAAAAAGGGCTGGGGATGTGGCTCAGTGGTTAAGTACCCCAGTACCCCCAAAAAAAGTATTCTTACATTGTTGTATTTTTTTTGTTGTTGTTTTTGTTTTCTTTTTTGTTTTGTTTTGGTTTTTTTTAACCTTTTGCATTTTTGTTTGGTATAGGAGTTGAGATACTTTTCCCAGGTGCATTTTCAGGTGACGTGGTACCAATTATTAAAGACTGTCCTTTCTCTACTGTACTCCAGTGTTGCCATGTCATAAGTCAGCTGATGATGTATGTATGAATGGGTCTCGTTCTAGGCTTTTTGTTCTAATAATCAGTCACTATATTTATCCTTACACCTGTAAATGGTTATTTTTTTACATACTAAATAAGGATTTTTGAAATCAATTCAATATACATTTCAAACTGTAAGTTGACCAAATAGCACCTTCTTTATTTCAGTGCTTTAAGCTCACTTAAAAATTTTGAAATAAGCAAACAGAATTGAAATTTTATAGTTCTTATGAAATATAAAAAGGTAATTTTACATTTTTGTAACATTTGCAGGTTTGCATGGACGTATTTAGGAAATATATAAGTATCAATGAGCTGTGTTTGCTACAACGTGCAGGTAGGAGTCAGATGAAATTTATTAATATGGTCAGAAATTTATTAATATGGGTGTTTCACACATTGTGCTGTTGTATCTTATAGTTTGAAAATAAACTTTTAATACTAAGGTAAAGTATCCAGTTTTCATACTAAGAGTGGCTCTACTGGCCTTAGAAAGGATTAAAAGTAAATATGGTATTTTGATTTAAAAAAATTATAATCCACCTAACACTATAACTCCCCTTATCTACTAATATTTGTTTTCAGTAGTACTAGGGATCGAACCCAGGAGAATTTTACCACTGAGCTACATCTCAAGCTCTTCTTTTTTGTCTTTGGGCAGCATCTTGCTAAGTTGTCCAGGCTGACCTCAAATTTGCGATCCACGTGCTTTAGTGTCCCATGTCACTGGGATTACAGGCATGTGCCACCATGCCCAGCTTGTACTAATATTTTCATAACTTTTACTTACAGATGTAAGGTAGAAAAAAATTTATTTACAGATGTAAGGTAGGAAAAAAGGTTTAAAGGCTAATTAACAATACCAGTCTAAAGGGATTCTTCAGAACCTGAATCTTCCCTCTTTATCCTTCTCTTTTTACACTTCCCTTTCTTATCAGTTCACTATCCCTAATGAACTTTGTGCAGTTTTCTAAGCATGACAGGCTGTGTTAGAGCAGTGGCAGCACTGAATTACATCTGCTAAGGATGCCTCTCCTTCTATATCCTTTCCCCATGGCAAAGACCTAGCTTTCAAACTTAGTCATAATAAATAGGATTACTTCCCCTATTAAGCCCTTGTCTGATTCCACAGTCCCATCCCACCTTGGGCCTCCATCTCCCTGTACTAAACCGTGAGCTCCAAGAGGACAGGGACCATATTCTATTTATATTTATCACCTGACACAGCAACTAAAGCCACATAGTATGGTGATAATAGTATACTGCAGCTTCATATTCATCTACTTGAAATTTCCTACAGCTGAACAAGTCTGACAAGCTTATTTTATTTTTCTGCCATTATCATTTCTCCAGGGTTAGAGAAAGCATTTAAAAGACATAGGTAACAAAGACATACATAAAACTCTGTATGAGAATGTAGTCATTATGGGAATATACTTGTCATCTGAGGGATGTAATAGCCCAAGACAAGCTACATGGGGTTAGATGTGGATGAATTCTGAAATTTCAGAAATAATTCTATGAGAAAGGGAAGAAAAGAGGGTGACATGAAAAAGATGTAAAACTCCCCAAAATGAAGTTTTGTATGAAGATTCACTATGGCCACAGGAGAAATATCTGAACTTAGTTTTAGAACAGTGAATTCAGAAAACTATAAGGGCCTATAGCAAAGAATAAATTAATATAGGAAGTTGTCAAGAACCTGTGGAGATTCTTTATTGTAAGAAGCTTAGATCAATGGAGTAGATAGCTTAGACCTGATGTTATATATAAAGGGGAGAGTTTACTGTATAGAAAGACCATAGGATTTCGGAAAAGATTTATTTAAAAAATGATAAGATATCTGGATAGCAGCCTAGAAAGAGAAACTCTGAATACCATTCATGTAAGTCATTGACCTAGCTGCTCAGGCTCTCAAGCAAGGCCTCGGGGACCATTTTGATATATAAAGGGAAATAATTCAGTGATGGAACTTCCTCCCATCATTGAACTGTGGGTCCTTGTTTATCAGTTTTGTTTGAATTTCCATACAGAATTCTTCCAGAAATTATTTTTAAATCTTTCAAGTTTTTATTTAATTTCAAATTTATAGTTACAAAAATAAAAACAGCACAAAGAATATTCATATGAACTTACTTTGTCATTGTACTTGTTCTGTCCCCCAGCCGTGTGTGTGTGTGTGTGTGTGTGTGTGTGTGTGTGTGTGTGTGTGTGATATAACCCACCACTTGAAGGTAAGTTGTATTTATCATGGCACTTTACCACTAAGTACTTCAATGCATATTGCCTAAAAATACAATATCCTTTCATATAACCTTGGTACACTTGTCCATGTCCGTAAACTTAACATGGGCACAATAGTTTTATCTAATCTGTTTGTCATTTGACTCAACGTCCTTTTTAGCATTTTTTTCCCCAGTCTAGGACACAGAGGTTTAGGATGGGTATTTAACATTTAGTTGTCACATCGTTTTAGCCTTTTAATCTGCAGTATTTTCAGTCTTTGCATGAGTGTGTGCTTACTCATGGGGAGGGGAGGTAGCAGGGCTGGGGACGTAGCTCAGTGGTAAAGCTTTTGCCTAGCATGTACAAGACCCTGGGTTCCATCCCAGTGCCAAAAACAAATACAAAAATAACAAGCATTTTAAGTATATAGTTCACAAGGATTAAGTACATTCACAATGTTGTATAACCTTCACTACTATCAATTTCCAGAACTTTTTCATCATTCCAAACAGAAACTAACTATTAAATAGTAATTCTCTGTTGCTTCTACCCATTGCAATCCCTAGCAACCTCTACTCTGCTTTCTGTTTCTGTGAATTTGCCTATTCTAGGTACTTTATATAAGTGGAGTCATACAATATTCTTCTGTGACTGGCTTATTTCACTTAATGTCTTTAGGGTTCATCCATGTTATACATAACATGTTTCAAATTTTCTTTTAAGGCTGAATAATATTCCACTGTATAAATATCTGTTGCTTATCTGTTCATCTGTTGATGGACACTTGGATTGGACACTTGAATTGTTTCTATCTTTTGGCTATGCAGAGTAATGTTGCTATGAGCCTGGATGTACAAATATCTGTTTGAGACTCTGCTTTTAGTTCTTTGGAGTATATACCTAGGAGTGGAGTTAAAGGTTCTCTTTTATGCTTTATATTTGAATTTCTGTATAAAACTTTCTATCCAAAAGTTTTGGACTAAAAACATTTGAAAGATTACAGTTGTTTAGCATAAGCCAAAATGAATCAACATAATAGTAATTAGAAAAATTAAGTTATTTTGATCCATCTTGGGTAATCTCTGACTTATAGTAGTCAAAGGAAGTATAAAAGATGAACTTTATCATAAATTTAAACTGAAACTAGATTTATCAATAATATGTAAAAGTATTCTGATTAGAATGAAATTTCAGTCAGCTGTTTACAAAGGCATAAACTCTTTTCTCTTGTGAGGAAACAGCTTTGGAAAGGAATATCCAGTAGTTACTGATTCTATAAATTGTACCCTCAATCAAAAAAGGAGTATAAGTACCCAGTTCTGATAGATCATTGATCAAGTAATATACTGAATTGACTAAACATTTTTAAAAGCATTGTAGAAGTTCATATCAAAAGCCATAAAATGTCCAACTTTTCTACCCAGTAGTTTCACGGGGATGATCATTTTAAAAGGAGAAATTCTATTAAAACTTCTTTAAAAAAAAAAATTCTTAACAATGACAGAAGGGTTAAATGGCAATTAGCAGACAATATAAACACTGTCTAATCTAGATTCTTTCCAATGACACTTTTTTAAAACATCTACAATACCAGTTTATAATTAATGAAATATGGGAAATTCAGAGTGTTAACTATATTATCAGTTGATCTATTTTTATAAATAGCAAGAATTTATCTTATATGTGCCCAGGAAAAACAAATGTATGTAAAGCACCTTTAAAACAAAGTTGAGTATTATTGCACATATTAAGGTTGTTAAAAATTATCTGTGCTACTGAATTTTGTCATTAGCTATACTTTGTAATTCATCTAATAATATTTCTGCTAGGAATAACATAAATATAAAGCCAAAAGTAATTTTTACTAAAGCACTAACTAACATACAAATTTTGACCTGGGAATTTCGGAATGGGGGGAAAGTGAACAATGCAGTCATCCCAGTTAATTTTAGTAAAATTAATGGGAACAAATTAGAAATAGTTTGCATTGTATAGAAAATAGATTATGGAATTGGATGAAGGTAAAGGGACTACTTTCTCAAAGGAAATTAATGATTATGATTATGGGCAATTTACTAAAACTGACAATAAGCTGGAATCAGAAACATCACCAGGGTTAATATTATTGGGATTGAAACAACCAGAATGGATATGTGTCAAAATAGTCTTCACCCATTACCAAATTATACAATTTCTTATCCAGGCCACATAAAAGCCTTAAGACTCCCTGGAAGCTCAACTCCCCGGGAGTTTATATTGACACCATGATATATTTGGCAATTCAGACTTACTTGTGAATAATACATGAGTTAGTGCTCAATCTAATGCTGAACATGCTTGGTTGCCTTCATTACTGAACATGCCATTTTAACTTAATTTTCATCAGATGTTTCTGATACTAAAACTGTGCTTTTCAAAGAAATTGACATACTACTTTAAGTATAGAGAGATTATCTGATTTAGGAAAACTGGATATCTTAAAAGCAATAGATGACTATATTTTTCTCGCTTTCAGTAAATATATTTATGGAATACTACAGAAAGTTTCCTCCAGGTATACATTTTGACTTACAAGTGCTGAATGATCTTCTAATTTCTTTACTCAAACATTGTTTACTAAAAGAAGTGTTTCAGGTAGTGAACCTCAGCATAATGATTAAAATGCTGGTAAGTAACTTGAAACTATATATTTTAATATTCTAATTGCTTTGTTGTTTGAAATTAGAAGTTAAATGTTTTTTTAATATTCCCTAGAAAAAAAAAAAAACTTGTGTTTTTTAGCATAAACGAATTTGAGAAACTGAAGGTGTGCTGAAAGACAATATAAAAATGAGTGTAATTTTTTGTTTTTACCCAGCCTGCTCTGAAAATATTACTAAAAATATTTGAGCATGTGGCAACTATGAAATTAAGGACTGCTGTACCTGCTTTAGTTGATATCTTTTGCAAGGTATGACTTTTATTTTCTTTTATTCTCTAATAGTGAATAACCAAGAAAATGCTTACTTCCACACGTACCCTTGATCTGCCTCTTATTCATTTTCTGGATGCCAAAGAATTCTGCTTTCAAAAATGTTCTTTTTCTCCTAAAATAGTTTATAAACAGACTCCAGCGGGTGACAAGGCTTCCCCTCAAATATTTCAAGCACACTAAGTGACTGCTGATTTATAAAATCTTCGTTTCTACTCTTTAAGTATAGTTAAAGAAAATTCTTTCTCTGAAACATTTGAGGTCATTTATAACTAAATTGGTATGTAAAATAAAACATTGTGACCAAAATAGAAACACAGTAGCTAAGAATTAAATCTGGCCCTAAACAAAAAGTGAAATAGGAATTTTTATGGTTCTCATAAAAATATAAAAATTATAACTTTTGACTACGTTCTAACACTTTTCAGTGCTACTTATCCATCCACTTCAGAATAACTAATAAATATTTGAGTGAATACTTTTTTTTTTTTTATAAAGACTGGTTGTTGAGTAAATACCTTTTAATACCCCATTACAAAATTTGAAAGAATTACTTGAGTGGAGATTTTTCAAATCAAAAATTGCTTATCCTCTGTAGTAATTATAGAAAACCTCATTAAGGACCTCACAAACTCTGATACTGAATAACTTGGCTTTCTGCAAAATGTATCCCCATTACTGTCCAAATAAAATTGGCTTTACTGAAAGTATTTAACAAGGACAATGACATTCCATTTTTTGCATGTTTAACATGGAGCCATCATTTCTAAAAGTTGTTTAATGCTAGTTCCAACTTCCCTGTTGAGACTTTCGGGGTTCAGTGATAAAGCCATATAATTAATGGAAGAGATGCTTTTCCACCTTATCACTCTAGCAGTGCACAATACCCCTATCTCATTAACATGACTACCATGGAGAAGAGAGAAATGAAGAGCTTTTTTTTTTTTTTTTGTACTACTTTGGGTTCCTGACTTACCAAGAAACAATTTATGAGCTGGGGTTGTGGTTCAGTGGTAGAACGCTCACCTAGCATATGAAAGGCCCTGGGTTCTATCCTCAGCACCACATAAAAATAAATAAATAAAGGTATTGGTTCAAACATAACTAAAAAGTAAATGTTTAAAAAAAAAAAACACATTCACCCTGGTTTTAGAGCAGTATTAAAGGGCATATTTTTTAAAGTGTATTGGTAACCAGGTAACCAATTTGTTCTTTGCCAGGCTTGTTTGTAATTGGCCCTGTCCATCTTATCAAAAGGTGCTGCATCATCAGTAAACACAGACAAACCATCAGGAGTTCTCCTTTCAGTTCAGTCCATGAGAGCCTGGGGTACTTAAGGAAGATGGGAAATGAGGCATATGTGAAAGAAAAAAAGTTAAAAAAATTTTTTTTTTTAGTCAAATACTATATGTTCCCTGAGTTTTCACCTGATCTTTTTTACTGTTATGTCACCTGAACATTGGAGTCACATGGGGTATTTTTTTTTCCTCCTGTGGCTGAGGCCCTAAATGAGGCTCGGGAAGACTATTTCTCAAGAAGGTACAGCTAGGAATGATGTACGAACACCAGTGCTACACTAAAGGATCAAGTAGCAAATAAGAGGTAGAGGTTGATAAATGGCTGAAATGACTTGGAGAACAGGAAGAAAATTCATTTTTTGTGTTCTCACTTTTGCTTTAAATTCTTAGGGTATCCTTCTGTGGTTCTGAAATGGTTGAAGAAAACACCTTTCAAGTTTTTTAAATGACTTTTAATTCCACTTGTCTCCACATTTCACTTCTTCTGTTAGTCTCTTCATTGTTTCACTCATATTGGCTTCCCAGTTCTTTCACAATCTTATGACTACTACTTTTCCTCTTCTACAGCTTGTTGAAGCTGGAATGATGCTTGACCCAGAGCACTTTAACTATATCGTTAAGCTTTTATATCAAGTACAGGCTTCCAAACAAGAAATAACTGCAGTTCTGGAAATCAAATCCAGGTGAGCAAAATCATAATTAAAGCTAATACATCTGTTTTGGTGGAGACCTATAAAGGATGTAGGCAAAGCACTCTGACAATTCATGTGCCTTGATATCTGGATTGTTGCCCATCATAAGCCTTTCTTCCATGTCTTGACCAGTCCTATCTGTCAGTCTGCTTCTGCTCAGCCTTGCCATATCTTTCTCAGATCCTCATCTTGTTTTATCATTTAATTTTGCTTCATATAGCTCATATAGATTTCCTTATTTCTTTTTATTCCTTGTCATATTTAATAAAATGCCTTAATGCCTCTTTATTTTCTTTTTCTATTCAGTTTGAGTTTCCAAAAGGCCTTGTTTTAAAAAAACAAATTTCTGATACTTATGAGTAGTACCATGTACCTGATTTGAGAAAAAGGAAAGCTGTGACTTTTCATACTTTTTTTTCAAATAAAGTATAACATACATAGAAAACATACAAATTACAAGTATTTAAATGAACCATAACTTCAAAGATGAATTTAGCTTTGATATAAGAGCAAATGGCATCAGCCCCTGCGGTTATTCAGAATTCTCAGAAATTGCCAATAGATTCCATGGCTATTTCTGTCTCCATTCTCTTCTAATGCAGAGATTCCCAGACTTTCTGGGTTCACAGCATCTCATGGCCAAAAGAAATGCATTAGTGGTGCCATTTATTAAATAGTTAGGTCCAAAGAAGTTAACAGCATTTGTGCAAGGTCTGACAAAATGTCACTTGAAAATGTCAAAAAGCGTGTGGTACCCCTATGAGTTTTCTGTAGTGCCATCTGTGCCTTGGCGCAATTAGAGAAGTACAGCTCAAAGTAATACTACTTGTCTTCAAGGACCAGTATTGAAGTTAATTTGAGTTCTTTGAATTCTTTAGCTACTGATAGTTGTTACAATTTTCATAGAAACAAATAGTATTAAACGCTATTTTGGCTAAATAGATTTTTAGGGATTTTCATGAGGAAAATTACTGTTCGTTTAGCATACACTTCTGGGATACAATTATTTATAAACTGGGTACCTTGATATAGTAACATTAAGGATGTTCTTTCTAAAAACTTTACCCATTTTGGGGCAGCAGTTACTATGGTAAAGTGATCAGGTGGCTAGCAAGTTTTAGTCTACCACAAGATTAGCTGCTGGCATAGGGAAAGTGTACACACCAGGGCTCGAGAGTGGCACTCTTCTTGTGCCCTGGGCAGCTGCAGAACTCTTTTTACAAGTAATTGAGAGTAGGATCTGTTGGTATAGGAAGACTCCAGAACAAACCAGCTTTTAACTTTCAAAATAATACAATCATGCAGTTACTCTTACAGTTTCTTTTACATCCTTTTCTTATATTCCCACTTTGAAAAGTTATTAACATTGGTAAACTGTTTGGGGAGTTCTGAGAAAGCAGAGAAATAATTGTATGCAGTTAAGGGATGTGGACCTAACCCCAACACAAAGGGAAAAATTATATTATACTTGAATTTCCTAATTCTTTTTGAAATGCTTTCTTTCCTGGCTTGGGAAATGACTTTTAATGGAAATTCATTCTTTGTATTTTAATTACAGTTCATTTGAAAGGCTTTCACAGCCTATATGGCTGTCAAAGAATTTTGGCATTTATATTCAGATTATTAGAATGTAAGTTTGCCTATAATCTAGGAAATTATTATATATATTCAGTGACTTATTTTAAAACACTTAATATTGATTCGATAGACTTATATCTGCCATTTTGCTGTTTTGTTTGTTCTTTCTCTTTCCTTCCTATAGGAATCACCTGAGCAATCTTTAGAATTTTTACCTATACTGTTTTTAAAGTCTTTTTATATAGGTTTTTATTAGTAATTCTAGTGCCCTTACCTTTTGACCCAGTGATCCCAAATCTAGAAACAAACCCTGAAAATTTCAGTATAAAAATAAATATACCAAAGATTATTCATTGCAGCTTTACTTACAATTTCATGATACTGGGGACATGAGTTAAATAATCTAGATATCCACACAGTGGAGTATACTTGGAACTGAATCGGTGATACCCAGGGAATACTGTTGGCTAAGAAATTCCTTTTCAGTATAAGGACATAAAGGATGGAAAACAACATGCCATACAAACATTAGTTTTAAAGAGTAAGAGTCACTATATTATCAGACCTTAGAGCAAAGAAAACCACTAGGGACAAAAGGAACACTACATAATTATAAAATAGCCAGTACACCAAGAAAACATTGTGTGCACATACAGGACTCCTAACAGTTTCAAATTACATGAGGTGAGGTGATAGAAATGGAGAAATAGACAAAAGTACCCAACTATAATTATAGTTCATCAGTACCTGAGAAAGGGATGTCAAAGTACTAAGAATCGGCAAGGGTCTAAAATACTACCAACAATCAAGGATCTAATAGGCATTTATAGACCATTCTACTCCAAAGCAACAGAATATTCTCTTTTTTAAGTACCCTTGGAATATTCACCAAAGTGAATCATATCCTGAATAATAAACCTTAAATTTCTTAGAGTGTATGATCTGTACTTCCAATTTTTTTTCACCATAATGAAATCAAGCTGGAAATCAAAATGGAAAAATAACAGGAAAATCTCCCAACAGAAATAAAATAACATACTTCTATATAGTCCATAGGTGAAAAGGAAGTCTTAAAACTGAGCTAAATTTAAAAAAAAAAAAAAAAAAGTATCACAGTTTGGGGGATATAGTTAAAGCAGCACTGAGAGGAAAATCTATAGCAATAAATATTCTAAGCTCATGGGACGTACTCAAAGCTAAAAAGTTTTTTTCTCAGCAAGAGAAACAATAAGAGAGGTAAATAGGGAGCCTACATCCTGGGAACAAATTTTTACCCCTCACACTTCAGATAGAGCCCTAATCTCCAGAGTATACAAAGAACTCAAAAAATAAGAAAACAAATAACCCAATCAACAAATGGGCCAAGGATCTGAACAGACACTTCTCAGAAGGATATACAATCAACAAATACACGAAAAAATGCTCACCATCTCTAGCAATCAGGGAAATGCAAATTAAACCCACTCTAAGATACCATCTCACTCCAATAAGAATGGCAGCCATTATGAAGTCAAACAACAAATGCTGGTGAGGATGTGGGGAAAAGGGTACACTTGTACATTGCTGGTGGGACTGCAAATTGGTGCGGCCAATTTGGAAAGCAGTATGTAGATTCCTTGGAAAGCTGGGAATGGAACCACCATTCGACCCAGCTATTCCCCTTTTATTCCCAAAAGACCTAAAAAGAGCATACTACAGGGATACAGCTACATCAGTGTTCATAGCAGCACAATTCACAATAGTTAGACTGTGGAACCAACCTAGATGCCCTTAAATAGATGAATGAATTTTTAAAATGTGGCATTTATACACAATGGAATATTACTCAGCACTAAAAAATAACAAAATCATGGCATTTGCAGGGAAATGGATAGTATTAGAGCAGATTATGCTAAGTGAAGTTAGCCAATCCCTAAAAAACAAATACAAAATGTCGTCTTTGATATAAGGGGGGCGACTCAAAACAGAGCAGGAAGGAAGAGCATGAGAAGATTACCATTAAACGGGGATGAGAGGTGGGAGGGAATGGGAGAGAGAAGGGGAATTGCTCAGAAGATGGAAGGAGATCCCATTGTTATACAAAATTACATATAAGAGGATGTGAGGGGGAAGGGAAAAAACAAAAATGAGTTACATTAGATGGGGTAGAGAGAGAGGATGGGAGGGGAGGGGGAAGAGGAGGGGCAGCAGAATACAACAGACACTAGTATGGCAGTATGTATAAACGTGACTGTATAACCAATGTGATCCTGTAATCTGTACATGTGGGAAAAGTAAGAATTCATACCCCATTTGAATCAAATGTATGATATATGATATGTCAAGATCATTGTAATGTTTTGAGCAACTAATAAAAAAATAAAAGCAAAATAAACTTAAGGACAAAATCTGGAATTGAATCTGAAAGTGATAAAATCAGTGAAACAAAAAGCTGTTTCTTTGAAGATTAAAGAAATTGGTAAACCTCTAACAAGACAAAAAATAGATATTATCAGCATCAGAAATCAGCCTTCCCTTTGTTAGTACAGATCCTGCAGCCATTAAAAGGATCGTAAAGGATTGCTTTGAAAACTTCAACATAATAAACAGCAACATAGATATGTGGAGCAATTTTTTCAAAAACCACATGATATTGAAATGTACCCCATCTGAACTAGATCATCAAGGTAGTTTTATAACTACTGAAGAAATTTATATTTTAAAAGCTGCTGGAGAAGATATCCAAAGGGCCAGAGAATTCTATCAGTTAAAGAATCAACATGAATTTATACATTCCCCCCCCAAAAAAAATACCAGCATATTTTTGAAGCCAGTGTTACCCAGATAACACAACAAGAGTATGAAGGAGAGAGTGGACTGAATCTCTCTCATGAGCTTACATGCAAAAATTCTCAGAAAAAAAATAACACATCAAATGCAGAAATACATAAGAATTATACAATATGATCAAGTAGGTATTCTAACACTGCAAAGATAGTTTAATATATCAACAGCAGCATGAAAAAAGTCATGTTAATACAGAAAAGCATTTGACAAAATTCATCTGTGCTTGACCAAAAATACTAAGCAAAATTAGGAATAAAGGAATTTCTTGATAAAGGACATCTGAAGAGATCTGAAGCAGACATAACTTAGTTGAAAGATTGGATGCTTTTCTTCTAAGACTGGGAACAAGACAAGGATGCCTGCTCATACCACTGTTGCATAGTAAAGCACAAGTCGGAACAAAAGGCATACTGATTGGAAGTGAAGAAATACAGCTTCATATTTGTAGTTGGCATTATAGTTTATATATATGCCAAGAACTCTTCAAAAACAGTCCTGAGACTTAACAAGGACAGCAAGATTGCAAAATAAAGATCAGCTCACAAAATCAGACATGTTTCTATATAATAGCGATGAATTGGGGAAATAAAAATTTAAAATGGCATCATTTATTGATGGCTCCTAAAAATGAAATATCTGAAGGTAAGAATCTAATAGAACACATACTGGACTTCTATGCTGGAAATTAGAAAACGTTGATGAAAGAGACCAGAAGAGATTAAACAGACATACTATGCTGATAAAGTATAAGACTGAACATAATAAAAATGTCATTTCTACAAAATTTCATCCATTTGTTTAATGCAATTCCTTTTGGAATCATAGCAGAGTTTTTCTAAAGTGTATATGCAAAGCTAAAAGAACTAGAGTAGCTGGAACAACTTTTGGAAGAGAATTCTGAAGTGAGTATTCACTCGACCTGATTAAAACTTACTGTATGGCTGCAATAATGAACACAGTGTGGTTTTAGTAGAATTAGTTTGAAATTTTTCTGTTTATAACTTTGAAGACCATTTTTACACATTTTGGGTGATTTGTCTGCCCTCCCCCCCCTTTTTATTGGGTCATTCCTTAAAGAATTTAACATAAATATTAGGCCTTTGTCTATAGCATACATTGCCATTTTTTTTCCAGTTTGTCAGTTGTCTTTTGACTTTGGTGGTTTTTACCATGCCATGCAGAAACTTCTATTTTTATACAACCAAATGTATCCTTTTTAAAAATTGCCCCAGTTTTGAGTCAAGATAATTTTTGTTGCTTCTGTATATCAAGTCATAATTTCCCTACCCCAGGGTTTTAGAGGAACTCAACCATGTTTTTTTCTATTGTGATGTCATTTTTAAAGTTAGATTTCTTATCTATTTAGAGTTTGTGTATTGCGAGATACCTAATTTTATCATTTCTAAATGGTCATTCAACTTTTCCAGTAATGTTTATTTTTTTAAAAAAAAATTTATTTCCAGTAACTTGGGGTACCACTTTTATCATGTGCTAAATTGAACATGTATTTGGGTCTGTTTCTATACTTTATTATATTCCACTGGACTGTTTCTCCATGCCCTAGTACTACACTACTTTAATTACAGAGGATTTAATAGTTCTAGTAGCAATAATTCTTTCATTATTTTACTTTTCCAGTGTTTTCCTGGCTCTTCCTATATTTATATTTTTCTGTGTATTTATTTCCTACTTCCTAACTTATAGTAGCTTATTGGTATTTTTATCCTAATTGTATTAAATTTATGAATGAACTTGGGAAAACTGACATCTGTGCGATTATATCATATTCAAGAATAGGTATTGTTTTCAGAATGTTAGTCAGCTTTGCATTACTGTGACAAATACCTGATAAAAATATTTGAAAGAAGGAAATATTAGTTTGGGCTCATGGTATCAGAGGTTTTCATTTGTGGTCTGCCAGCTCCATTGCTTTGGGTCTAAGGTGAGGCAGAACATCATAGTAGAAGGGAATGGTAAAGGGAAGATGCTCAGTTCATGACATCTGGGAAGAAGAGGGTGGGGAAGGGACTGGATAAAATATAAACCCTTCTAGTGACTGACTTCCTCCAACTCAGTCCATTAGTCTATTCAGCTATGAATGGACTGATCCACTGATGAAGTCAGAGCCCTGGTGATCCAGTTACTAATTGAAAGCCCCACCTCTGAACACATGAGCCTTTGGGAAACATTCCAAATCCAAACCATAACATCCAAATTTTGTATCTTTCAGGAGTGCTTTATAATTTTCCTCATGTATGTATTTTAATATTTTTGGTGCTATAAGTGAAGTTTTCTGTAAATCCTTTTTTTTTTTTTTGGTGGAAAAGGTACTGATTTTTGTTTGCAAATTTTATATTCTGTTTTACTCTGAGGTTAGAGTTGGTTTTATTCTGGAATCTGAGATTTACCAGGTATACAATCGTATCATCTGCAAATAGAGATAATTTGACTTGTTAACCATTAAGCCTTTAAGTGATTCATTTGATTGCATTGGCTCATCCCTTTAGTACAGATTGAATAATAGTGGATAAAGTTGATATCCTTGCATTGTTCCTGACTTTGGTGGAAATGCCTCTAGAATTCTTATTAAATGTGACACTGGCTTCCGGACTAAGGTACATATATTTAATTTTTTTTTTTAAGTACCAGAGATTGAACCCAGCTGCACAGCCGCTGAGGCTGGGTTTGAAATTGTAATTCTCCTGCCTCAGCCTCCAGAGCTGCTGAGATTGTAGGCATACGCCACCATGCCCTGCTATGTTTAATGATTTTGAAGAAGCATTCCTCAATTTCCTGCATTCTTAAGTATTTTTGTCATAAATTGTCAAATTTTTTCAAAGGCTTTTTCAGTACTTATGGAGTTAATCATGATTTTTCTTTTAGTCTTTTACTATTGTATATGATACTTATGGATTTTCTAAGGTTGCATTTAGAAAATTCCCTTCTTAGTGTATTATTTTCTTAATGTGGGCTTGAAATCTCATCAACATTTTATTTCCTCTCTTATGATCTTTTTTTGTTTCGTTTTGGTATTAGTACTGAACCCAGGAACATTCTAACACTGAGCTATATCACTAGCCATTCTTATTTTACATTTTGAAATAGGGTCTTGCCAAATTCCTGAGTCTACTCTCAAAACTTGTTATCCTCTTGCCTCAGCCTCTCAAGTCACTAAGATTACAGGTGTATGCTTCCATGCTTGGCTATGATTGATACTGTTTTTTAGAATTGTTTGTTTGTTTTTCTGTCTGTTGAATTGGTTGACCTTTATTTATTTATTTTTAATAAATAAAATATTTATTTATTATACTGAGGATCAAACCCAGTGCCTCACACATGCTAGGCAAGCGCTCTACCACTGAGCCACAACCCCAGCCTTTATCTGTTGAATTTGGATATAAGTGTTATACTTGCTTCCTAACTGGGAAGTTGTTCCTTTTTAACACTCTGGAATAATTCATAGAGCATTAGGACTAATTATGAAAATAAACCCCTAAGTTGGGTATTCTACAGAACTCCTCTTTCTTCTTTTCAGTTGCCAAAGTTTGCTTATTTTTCTTTCCCAAAAACTATGCATTTCAAAAAAAGGGTACACTTGTACATTGCTGGTGGGACTGCAAATTGGTGCAGCCAATTTGGAAAGCAGTATGGAGATTTCTTGGAAAGCTGGGAATGGAGCCACCATTTGACCCAGCTATTCCCCTTCTCGGTCTATTCCCTGAAGACCTAAAAAGAGCATGCTACAGGGACACTGCTACATCAATGTTCATAGCAGCACAATTCACAATAGCAAGACTGTGGAACCAACCTAGATGCCCTTCAATAGATGAATGGATAAAAAAAAATGTGGCATTTATACACAATGGAGTATTACTGTGCATTAAAAAATGACAAAATCATAGAATTTACAGGGAAATGGATGGCATTAGAGCAGATTATGCTAAGTGAAGCTAGCCAATCCCTAAAAAAACAAATGCCAAATGTCTTCTTTGATATAAGGAGAGTAACTAAGAACAGAGTAGGGTCGAAGAGCATGAGAAGAAGATTAACATTAAACAGGGATGAGAGGTGGGAGGGAAAGGGAGAGAGAAGGGAAATTGCATGGAATTGGAAGGAGACCCTCAGAGTTATACAAAAGTACATACAAAAGGAAGTGAGGGGAAAGGGAAAAATAATACAAGGGGGACAAATGAATGTCAGTAGAGGGGGCAGAGAGAGAAGAGGGGGGGGGGATAGTAGAGGATAGGAAAGGCAGCAGAACACAACAGACACTAGTATGGCAATATGTAAATCAATGGATGTGTAACTCATGTGATTCTGCAATCTGTATATGGGGTAAAAATGGGAGCTCATAACCCACTTGAATCAAATTGTGAAATATGATATATCAAGAACTATGTAATGTTTTGAACAGCCAACAATAAAAAATTTTTTAAAAAAAGTTGCTTTCTTTAAGATCACACAGAATTTTAGGTTCTTTCCCTGTGGTCTGTGTTCTCATCTACTCAGGTGCTTTTGTTTTGTTTTCATTTGCATGACTTAGTATGGATTTAGTCTTGGCCTTCATTTTTGGTGGAGGGGGTTGTATAGGGAGCACTTTACCACTGAGCTACATCCTCAGCCCTTTGATTGTTGAGATAGGATCACACGAAGTTGCTTAGGGCCTCATTAAATTGCCTGTGCTGGCCTCAAACTTGCAATCCTCCTGCCTCAGCCTCCCAAGTCCCTGGGATTACAGGCATGTGCCACTATGATGTTGGTATTTTTTAGTCAATATCAGGACCTTCTAGTACATCTTTTCTCATTTCTTCCTCCAGGTTTTGTTTGCTTCCTTTGTTTTTCCTTTAATCTGTCTTTGCTTGCCACAGTTCCTTATTGATCAGTGAGGGCAAGGTAGGAGCAAAAGAGATCATGTGCTGGGAGTTGGTCTTTTTTTTTTTTTTTTTCTGTTTTTATTCAGTTATTTTGAAGTGTGGGCATTCTGGTAGGCTGAAAATAAGTTTCACATGAAATTTATTTTTTCCTTCGTATTGTTGCCTATGGTTTAAGGAGTTATCCTTTTATTCAACTCTAAATATTTTTATGACAAACTTTATGCATTCATTTTTCTCATCTATCTTAGGCATAAACTATGAATAATTAGCAATAGTGACTTTTTGGGGGGGTGAATGTAAGTATAATTAACCTTTTTCTATTAAAGGTTACAGAAGAGGCAATTTAAAAAGAACTGGAAGTATGATTTAGATTCAGCCTTGAATGAAATAGAGGTATGACATTTTTATATTTTCATTTATTTTATTTTTTATTTATTTATTTATTTATTTTTTATTTTTTTTTTTTTTTTGCAGTACTGGGATTGAACCCAGGGCCTCACACATGCTAGGCAAATACTGTACCACTGAGCTGCATCCCCAGCCCTGTAACATTTATTTTTAAAATAAATTGCTGGGATCTCTGAAAATCAGTAACAACAAAAAATGTTGTAATAAACCCCACTTTAGGAAGTTTTAGAAATGTGGCTATTGGAGAAAATCTTCAAGGAAGAGAACTTTGATTTTGTTTACACAAGTTAATATTTTGAAATTGCAGACATACTAATTTATTGAGTTGTGAACTATTCTAAAAATATTCAGTTGCAAAATTATGTTAAGGTAAAATAATAATCCAAGTTTAGTCTTTAATTTTTGTGGCTAAGCAGACTCATGCTGTCACAGATAGCTATAGTATACGAAATGACAAGAGTAATTTAGGATCATACTGAGCTCTCCAAGAGTGTGGAAAATAAAAAGTAGAGGACTTTCAGGATGATCTTATAGTTTTCTGTTCCTCTAGTAATTATTAGTATACTCTTCATTAGTATCTTTACATCCATAAAGCAACTTTTTTGATTTGGAAAAATTATTTCTTATTTTATAATAATAGTAGGAATATAGTAAATTTACTAAAACTTGATTTGTAACCCCTTTTGTAGAGTTGTATCCCAAAATGATATGTAGACCCCAAGTTATAAATGGCTAAGTAATAGTAAAATGCAGTCTCCAAAAGTAATAAAATTGCATATTACTGTGGAGATGACTTACATCATGCTAGTCACCATCTGCTTTATATAAAATTCATCTCTCCACTGCCCAGTTTAGGTTTGGGAATAATATTATTAAGTTCCTTAAGAACTAGGTGATTAAAACATGTATGGGGCTGGAGATGTGGCTCAAGCAGTAGCGCGCTCGCCTGGCATGTGTGCGGCCCGGGTTCGATCCTCAGCACCACATACAAACAAAGATGTTGTGTCTGCCGAATACTAAAAAATAAATATTAAAATAAAATTCTCTCTCCCTCTTTCTCCCTCTCTCTCCCTCTCTCTCCCTCTCTCTCCCTCTCTCTCCCTCTCTCTCCCTCTCTCTCCTTCTCTCTCCTTCTCTCTCCCTCTCTCTCCTTCTCTCTCTCTCTCATTCTCTTTAAAAAAAAAAAAATGTATGTTGCTATCTGGAAGGCATGGAGGCTTTTCAGTAGTCAGAAAAGTAAAGCTATGATCAGTTACATTAGAATCTCTGGGGGTGACATCTGGGCATTAGGTTTTGTTTTGTTTTTGTTTTTAATTTGTCCAGATGATAGTGATGAGAATTGAAAATGCCCCTGTAAAGTAAACACTCAGTAGATAATTTGATAACTGATAGCATAAGACCCTTACTGTTTCTCCATTTCTAAAATGTATGTTTTGGACAGCTTGGAGAATGAGATAGGAAATCATTAAGATGAAAAACTATGAAGGCTTTTCTCAAAGCTAAAACCATTTCAAGATTTAAACATACTCTAGGCTATGGTCTCGAATCTAACCTTCCCTCTAAATACCTGTTTTTTTGGAAAAATAATTCTTTGTTGCTATTTGAATTATATTTTCTCAAAAGTCATAAGAAAAAAAAATGGCTTGACTCTGGATGTACGTTTTTCAAGGAATAGAAATATCCCTTGATGTGGATTTTGCTCCTATATGAGATTAGATTGATGATTTCTTCAATACCAGGGTGTGTCAAGTCTCCTCAGAGAATAGCCTTTCTCAATAAAAGGGGTCTAAATGGCCATGCAGATTCGTATTGATTGTTAGATTTCAGTTCTCTTAAAGCCATGTCTCCCTTCAGATGCGTTCTCTGTCACACCCCTGCTAGCCTTATCTGTTGTTCCCTTGTTAGTTCTCTTCCCACTGAATGACTACATCTTTTCTGAGATGTTTTTATCAGGAAGGATCTCTCCCTGGGGACTCTGGCAGTATTAGGCTAACATTCTCCTTAGAGCTAGTCACCAGTCATCATGGCCATTGGATGGAATGCTCTGATTACTTAGGTCTGGATCATGAATCTACCCTAGATGAGAGTAGTCAATACATTCAAATCATGGGGATTAAGACCTGCTTGAGGGGAGAGTAATTGAGATACTGTGCTCAAGGAAAGAAACATGTAGAGTAGGTAAAAACAAAAGAGATGAGTAAAATCTCGGAGAGTTTCCCCATTTTCCATTTCCGTAAACCTCATCAAGGTCATAACCTTTAGGAATGATTCATGGATTGCTCTTTTTCCCTACTCTCCACACACAGATATGTGCAGAGGCAGAGCTGGGCAGCTTGAGGAAGCCTTGGAGGTTACAAGGGGGTGGAGGTCAAACCTAAAATAAAGGTATATTTGTGCCATTCCTAGCAGGCAGGACCATCTACCTTGTTTCTCATCCCGGTGCTCTATTTCTTTCCTCTATTTTACTGACTTAGATAAATAAATAAATGTATGAATAATTGAACATGTGTCTGGGACCACATTATTTATTCCCTACATATTCCATGTAGCCTTCCTCCTCTAAGGAGCAAATTTTTGAAATATAAGAGCTAAAGAACTGAGAACTATCAGCTCAAGATCCCAGAGAAAACAAAACAGAGGTTTTGAAAAATATGCTCAATGAGTTAATTTACAAAGGCCTGAAACAGTTTTAAAATGCTCATTTGAAAAAGTGAAGTTTTGATAGTTCACTCGGGAAGTCATGTAACACTCCTGATCAAGTTTTTGGCAGAGGTTTTATTCACAGGGCTATTTATAACAGCAGAAAATTGTAAATAACTTAAATGCCCAACATTGAAGAACAATTAAATAAAATGTAAACCTGCTCAAAAGTATATTCTGTACCATTGAAAATAATGTTAACAATAAATTTGTGATGATATAGAAAACATCAATGTAAATGAAAAGAAAGATGGAACATGAACTTCAGGCATGTAGAAAGTAAATGTTCTTGCTGGAAGAAAAAGAAAAAAATAAAACCTTATATTTTAAAAGATGGAAAGGATCATTCCAGAATGTGTTTTTTAAAAAGTTACCACAGTTTTATTGATGTGACATTCATTATTAAGTTTATAACATTTGCAGAGATTGTTTTATTAATCTTTGTATAAAATCTAATGCCTACGTGTACCTGGCCCATAATATGTTTGCATAGTTTTCATTTTGTTCTTCTGTTTTGTTTTTAATAATTTTGATAGAATTGTAAAGAAAAAGGTGACTGGACCAAATTGGGAAATTTATACATTAGTGTAAAAATGGGCTGTGAAAAATTTGCAGATTTCCAGAAATTTTGTACTTGTATTGCTGAAACACTCACAAAAGACTGTAAAGAAGAAAGACCAGGTGTTCCTTTTTGTGAATTTGCTGAAACAGGTAAAATATCTCTGTATTGTTCTGAACATTATGAGAAAGGTGCAGTGATATGAGGATAGAGCTTTTTTAATATTTTCCATGTTACGGATAAATTAATATTGCAGATTTCATATGAATTTTTCTATCTGCTTGTTAAGTTATAATGGTATAAAGGCAAGAACTGGTGTTTTAGTATCAGATTTTTTTAAATTCTGCTTAGTTGTATCAGATGTTTTATATTCTTATTTTTCTTTAAAGTGGCTAAATTATTGCTAGAAAATCTCACTGGAGCATCTGAATTTTTGAAACACTGAAGTAGTTACCATCTTTACTATTGTAAGGCAACAAAAGTCATAACTGAATTTTGTTCATTTATGTGTTTGTTTTTTTAGTGTGAACACTTTGCTACTACAGTTTTTATCTGGGGTTAGTAAACTTTGTAAAAGGCCAGATCATAAAGTTTTAGGCTTTTCACACACCATGTATGATATCACACAGTTCTTTTTACTTTTTAAAATAAAAACTATTGTTAGCTCACAAGCTTCAGTAGTATCAGTTTCATGTTAATTTGCCTTTTCCATCATTTTAAATAATTGTTTCATTTTCTTCCATATGCCTACCTTGTGTTTCAGTTAGCAAAGATCCACAAAATAGTGAAGTAGATAAAACTTTGCTGGGAAGAATTGGAATCAGTGCTATGTACTTCTATCACAAGCTATTGCAGTGGTCCAAGGTACTTCATTAAATGTTTGTTTTCCTTCTGAATAGTGTTAGTTTAAAAAATATGAATAGAATAAAGATTAACCTTGAAATTAAGAATTTTCTTATAGTCATTACAGGCAACAGAATGGAACCCACACTAATAAGTTAATTGTTAAATGATAACACTAAGTAAATGTGAAAGGGGGTGACATGAGACTGAATACTATGTGGAATTTCATTATAGGTAAGACTTAAGAGGTTGTGCTAAATCATTTATATGAAGCAATTTTCTGTTTATAATTTTTTTGGCCAACTCAGTGTCAGTAGCATTGTAATTCTGGAAGAGTTCAAGGTACCTTTGTTAACAAAAATTCCTTTAAAATTAACAAAATTCCTTTAAAAAACACCTCTTAAAATGCTCTAGAACACTGTATACTGGTGTCGTAACTTTTCAAGGCTTAGCTTACCATGTAAATGGACTAGTGATCAAGACCATATTGTATTTCTCTTCTTTAGATTTCCCTGAGGTGGTGAGCAGAGTTATAGACTCAATAAAGTCCAAGTAGTGGGCAAGAAAATTCAAAATAGAAAGTGCTAAGGAATGGAGTTGATAAAGTAGAGTAACTGAAAGTGTGGTAACTATTGAATTAATTAACTTACCTTTTGTTACCTGTTACTTTTTTAAAAGAGGTCATTTTATAATTGAATATTTGTTCAATAATATTTAAGTATATTGTCACTTGTATACACAAAAAAATTCATGAATTTAGAAAAAATTTAACTCCAAATGGTGGTACAGAATATCTCCAGGAGATTGAACATGTATGTGGCAGGCCTAGGGTGGGCAGGATGTACCCTGTCCCGGCTTTCTCAAACTGTCATAGCTTTCACTTAGACCAGAAGAACTACTAAAGAAGACACTTTTTTTTTTTTTTTTTTTTTTTAATATTTATTTATTTATTTATTTTAGTTTTCGGCGGACACAACATCTTTGTATGTGGTGCTGAGGATCGAACCCAGGCCACATGCATGCCAGGCGAGCGCGCTACCACTTGAGCCACATCCCCAGCCCCAAGAAGACACTTTCTGAAAACTTTTTTTAGCGAAAATTCAAGAGTATATTTTTATTTCTTGGGTTATTATTTCTTAAGACATCAAGATGTCAGTGAATTTTTGTTAATTAAAAATGTTTACCTTATTTAGAAAAATTATCACCTTATTTAGTATGAAGCCTATTTCTTTTAATGAAGCTTATTCCTTTTTTAACATAAAGCAATAAATGGCCTGGAGATGTCACTTAGTGTCAGAGTATACATTTAGTATGCTCAAGGCCCTTTTTCAGTTCCCAGTACTTCAGGAAAAATGTTGAAATTAAACTAAAGTTATCATGAAAAAATGTATTAATTTATTCAGTCAAATTGAAGGTACATTGACATCATTAGTAAGCATCTGAATATAAAAACAAGTGTTGCAAAATTGTACCTGCAGCCTACTTTCGTGGAGCCCCCAAGCTAAGAATGTTTTTTTCATTTTTAAAAGTTAAAAACAACCATTAAAAAGAATGTACAATAGACCAAATGTGTTCTGCAAAGCCTAATATATTTACTTTGTAGCTGTTTACAGGAAAGTTTTCTAGCTGCTGGTATAAAATAATAATGTGTGTCCACTTCCTAATACCCAAAATGAAGACAGTTTTATTGTAGAATATGTGAATTTTTTTATTGAATTGAGGACTTTTTTCTAACAGTTATCCTTTTTCCCCCACTATCACTCTTTATCTAAATTTGATAACAAAATATCTTCCTTTATATTCTCTCTCCCCGTCAGACTGGTCAACAAAACAGAAGTAAAACTATATAATCAGTAGTTTTCCAAGGAAAGCATGAAATCCTTTCAAATGAGATTTTGAGAGGAAGCGTATATAAAACAGTAGAAAGGAAAACCGCTGATAAAGGGGGGTGCCCAGTGGTAGTAAGAGGGTAGGTAGTATATGACAAAGGCCTGCTTATTCCACTTCCCTTTCCATCTTTAGGGCTCAGCAGGAAGGGGCTTCCAGAATTAGTCTTGGAGCAGTTTGGCAACCATCAGTCTAGGATGATAAATCAAAATGGATAATTGCCTTCTGCATGATTACCATTGACTTTGTATCTCTCTAATACTATAATTGATACTCAATTAGTGTTCTTTATTTTCACTCTAGGGAAGGAAGGTCTTAGATAAACTATATGAATTAAAAATACATTTTACAAGTTTAAAAGGACTTACAGGGCCTGAGAAGTTAGCACCAAGATGTCAGATTGTGAATATTGCAGCAGAAATTTTTCTAAAAAGTGGAAGCCTAGATGGTGCCATTTGGGTATTAAGGGGTAAGTTCTCATATGCCACAAACATAAAATGATTGTTAAATTTGTTAAATTCTTATCTGTCATTGCTTTAAGTTGATACTGAACTTTGGGTGATAGCTTAGTCCAGATACTAGTGAACATGTGTATAGAAAAAGAGTGGTTGTGATACACACTGAAAGGAGAAAGTGGACTTGGTTGTCAAGAAGAAATTTTATGAGCCTTAGTTGATTTACAAGCTAGTACTGGCTGTGGCCTAAGCACCATACTAAATGTTTATGTGGATTATCTCAGTTAATCTTCATAGAGTTTAGAACTATTACAGTTTGTATTCTATACATTTAAAATGTTAGCAGAGATATTAAGCAGCTGACCCAAAATGACATAGCAAGGAAGGAACAGACAGAAATTCAAACCCAGACAGTCTAGCTTCAGAGTCCAGGCTTCAGCTGCTATGTGAAATGCTGATTGCAGTCAATGTAAACTCTGTCTTCACATGTATAAGCAAAGGTGACTATAAACGAAGATGCTTATTTTCCCTAAAAGGCAGTCCATTTAGCAGAAATTACAATTAAATTAAGCCAGCAGAAGCAACTAAAGTTACTTTAGTGTAAGATAAATAAAAATTCAGAGAGCACAATAGTGTCCCTACATGATAGGCAGTAATGGCTCTGGCTAATTGGACAATCAGGCAGATTTGATAAAGTAGGGTAAAAATAAAGACAATATAAGAGTCTGTTTAGATAGGAAGATAGAATGGATATAAATAAAGCAAATAGATTACTAATATATGCTAACAAACACATATGCTAGCACCCATGCCTAGTATGCTAGTACACACACACACATGATCCTTTGTATTTGTTCAGTACTGAGAGTTTATAGAATATAGAGGTTGTAAATAGACTACATGATCAGAAGCTTATTGGAAAAGGTTTTCTCCAACTTAACAAACAGCCAGAAAGGTTTCCTAAGTGGGAATAACTGAGATATAGAAACAGAATTAGTGAAATGCAAGTCTGCACACAGGTTCTTTTTTTTTTTTTTTTTTTTAAAGAGATGTGGCAAAAAATGAGAAGGGTAAATAAATAGTTGATAAAAATGGGCTTGGGTAAAATCTTGTTATAGGAAACTTCTTCCTAAACATTTCTGACAAAACTATTCTTTCTTAAATTAGAAAATGAGAGAATTTATGGTAGCAATGTGGAGTGGTCTCTGGAGATATTTGTAAATTTTGATGTTTCAACTTTGATTATCTTTTAGGTTTTATCAATTATCAACATAGTATTCTCTTTCACGATGGCAGTTTCCCTGGAAAGTAATTTCTATTAGTAAAATTTTATTTTCTCAAAAGAAGGCACTACGGAAGTATGGTCAGTTGTCCTTAGTTTTTTTGTTTGTTTGTTATTTTTTTTTTTTTTTTAATTCTTAAAAGGGTTTTTTGGTTGGTTTGTTTGGTACCATGGATTGAACCTAGGCTTGGTAAGCTGAGCAACATCCCCCCCCCTCTTTTTTTTTTTTTTTTTTTTTAGAGAGAGAGAGGGTCATGCTAAGTTGCTAAGGCTGGCTTTGAACTTGTGATCCTCCTGCGTCAGCCTCCCAAACTTCTAGGATTGCAGGTGTATGCCACTGCACCCTGCTTAAAAGGGGTCCTGTAGTGAACTGGTCGTTCTGTAGAAAGGAAATACAAATGAATCAATCTCACTTGTAATAAGTGAAGTTAATCTCTCATTAAAGAAATATACATTAAAGTTAAAAAACACTATTTTGAACCTGTCATGCTGTCAAAGTTTAATGGTACATTTTTCGTGAGAGTTTGAAGAAATGGATATTCAGAGACATTATCTTGAGGGGCTTTTTAGCAACATACCTGCCAAAAGTTAAAAATGCATATTTCCTTTCACTAATTTTTTTTTAAGAGAGAATTTTTTTTTTTTTTTTTTTAGTTTTCGGTGGACACAACATCTTTGTTTGGTGCTGAGGGTCGAACCCAGGCCGCTCGCATGCCAGGCGAGTGCGCTACCATTTGAGCCACGTCCCCAGCCCCTCCTTTCACTTATTGACTCTATTTTTAGGAATTTGTCCTGCAAACACATTTATGCCAGTATAAAAGGGTATGCATTGTAAGTCTAGAATCTTCTGTTACACCAAAAATAACAAAAGATTCCGGATAGCTTAAATGTCCACTAATGGAGTGCCAGTTAATTAAACTGTACTATAGCCATATGCTAGAGTAGAATGAGGCAGATCCACAGGTAGTCATTTGGAATGGTCTCAAAGATCTATTGCCAAGTGAAAAAATAAATATGTAGAAAAGTACGTGCTACCATTATTGTAAAAAATGATACTAAAATGGATGCCTAACCATATTTGCATATATACTCTTAAAATATTTTTAGAAGGATGCACCAAAAAATGGTAATTATGGTTGCCTCCAGGATGAGAAGTTGAGTGCTTCCAGGACAAAAGATGAGAGGCACATTATCTTTTCACATGTTTTTTTTCTTTTTCCTTTTTAAAAAAATCTATCTTTGTTACCTGCTAAGATTCTTAAAAGGTGGAAATACATACATTATTCAAGGTTGAGAAATGGAGAATATTTTACACATTGTTGGTTTGGTGGGTGGTAGACTTGATGGTGAGACAGATTCTATTGTTTTAACTTCATTTTACCATTTTAAACTTTTTCTCAGCACTAGTACTTTTTATCCTGGCAAAGGAGCAACAGATTCCTACCATGTCTTCTCCCAATACCAGCATAAAATAAAGTCTTAAAACAATCTTATAATCATGGTCCAGAGTTTGAAAAATAAATATCTTAGTTCTTTGTAATTCAAATTTTGTAAAAAGTTAAGACACTTATTGAGAAACTGCCTTTTGAATTTTAATTTTATTGCCTTTATAAGGAATATGTTACTATATGTAATATGAATTTCATATGTAATATGAAATTAGAGTGGAAGCAAAACTGATAATTAAAATCCCTTAGTCACTCAGAAATAATTATTATCCACGTTAGTGTTACTTTACAGACTTTTGTAGCCTACATTTTTTTTCCAGGCAGTCTTTATAAAAAGGGCTTCTTTGGTTTTCCATCTTATAGATGGATGGGTGTATCTAATATATTTCCATATTTCTATTATAGACGATGATCCCTACTAAACATCACTGCTAAATCTTTTTTTTTTCCTTAAGATAAATTCTGATGGAATCACTGTAGTAAAGAATAAGGGCATCATAAGGCTCTTCAGTAAATGTCAAATTTTCCCTTCTTGCCATTCAGATTTGCAGAATTGTTTTGGTTATCAGGAAGACTGCAGTGTTCCAAATTATACAGACCCCTAATCTGGCTATTCAATATTTAAAAGATGGCTATACATACATTCCTGGTCTTATATCTGTGGGTAGATACAAAAGTCCTCTACATTTTAAATAAGATTATAGTAACTGTAGTCATCTGAACAATGTGTGAAAATATGAGTTATGAAACACCATTGCCAGCAGTGAGTATTCCATACTCCTTTGCTACTTTGGCAGGGTAAATATGATATTCACAGCTTCACTTTTAATTTAGGCATTTAATTGACCATTAGAGAGAATTTTCCCATTTGTTCTTTTTCTGTCAGTGGTCTGTTCATGAACTTGGTTTGTTTTCTGATATCTGTATTTCTCTTCATTGATTTGATAATGTGAATATTCACTGTGTATCTAGCATTGTGCTGTCACTGTCATTTAATCAACACTACCTCCTTAAGATAGATAGTGGTATCCCAAGATGAGGACACAGGTTCAGATTAATATCACACAGCAAGTAAGTTTGGAGTAGGAATTCCAGTTCACTGCCCTACATCACTCTTCTTATGATGACATTTTTGCTTACCTCACGTGTGTCCCATACCTTTTCAGATTACTGCACCCCCTCCCCCGTTAATTAACCACTGTTATAAATGTTACCACTTTCATTTTTTTTTAAACTTGAGTCTTCCACCTGTGGCAGAACTTGACACAGAATAAATATTTAGTAAACAATAGTTGAGGTGGGTGCATGGATTTTTCTTAAGTATCTTTGCACCTTTCTAAGAAGGAAATAGCTGGAGGTTTTGAAAGTGCATATGTATGTGTTTTTGCTTTTTTTGTTGTTTTTTAGAAGTGTTAACTATTTTTTACTACAGAATTTAACATAAAGATTTGCTCAAATACTTAGACTAGTCACTTTATGACTCCAGTACTAATATAAGCATATAAACATTTCTAATATTTATTAAGAAAAATGTGTTGTCCTCATTTTCAATCTCTGAATGGATCTCTTAGCACACATCTTGTTAGGCTAAGCCAACTTCAGTCTGTTTTAATACAACGGTCTCTTTTATTTCTCCTGTATTTACTTATTAGACCTACTACCTTCTTTGTACTTTTCTGGTTGGTTGGTTTGTTTATTGGTACTAGGGATTGAACCCAGACGCACTTCACCACACTGAACTACCACATCCCCAGTCCTTTCTTTCTTTCTTTTTTATTTATTTATTTATTTTTATACTGGGGATTGAACCCAGGGATGCTGAGACACATCCCCAGACCTTTTTTTATATTTTATTGGAGACGAGGTCTCACTGAGTTGTTGAGACTAGCATTCAACTTGGAATCCTCCTGCCTCAGCCTCCCAAGTCACTAGGATTACAGGCATGCACCACTGTACCAGCAGCTTTATAAATTATAATACACATAATATTAGTTCTGATAACATGGATAATATGTATGTCATACTTAGGAAATATCATGCTGCATAGTAATGCCCTTTTATATTGCAGTAGCTTACATATTAAAGCTATTAGACCTTGATCTGTTTGGTATTTATGCTTTTCTCAGCTTTTTATTTCCCTCCATGAAAACATTTGCTTTTTGCATATTTATTTTCTTTTTTTACCCAGTTTACATTTTTTTATACTTAACAAATTATCTTTTAAATTTTAATTTAAAATTTTGTT